TCGATTTCTATCAGGCCTTTTGCTTTGCTTTTTAGAATTTGTTCCATTCCTGGAAGGTGTCTTTTGAATTTTTCGCATTGCCATAAATGTTCTAAGTTTTCTTCATGCAATCCACACCTTCTGCACTTATATTATCATAATTTCCTTTGAAATTAGCTGAATGATGCTACTCTGTATATAGCGAAACACATGAAAACATTATGAATACACTGGGGAACTACATTCATTTTTATTATAAGAAACAAAGGTCGATGTTGAGTACTCCAGTTTCTTAATGTTCTGGAAAATTTCAATATTCATTGTTTCTTCAGACTTTCTTTATGTTGATGTCATTAATGATGTTATGAAATGTTCGTAGCCTTTTTTATCACATCAAGAGATTCTGATGCTGTATTTTGATGTGGGACGTATATTTTTATCCCTTGCGTCTTAAGTTTTAGATCAACAGGGCAATCATGTTCTTGGATTTTACAACATTTCGTTGTTCTCAGTTTCATCACAATTTAATAATTTCTTAATTTTTTGCTTTGAGTACTGAAGTTTCTAATTTTTTTCTGACTGTCCAGCACTCGTTTTTTTGGCCAGTTTCTTATAAAAAATGAGTGTAAAAACTGATTGTAAAAAACCTCTTTCAACAAAAGTTTCATCACTTCGCATAAATCTTACACTCTTCTCTGTAAAAATATACACTGCCCCCTACATCCATTATCAGCCAGTGAAGTTAGATGGTGCGACTACTTTCTCCCTTATTCATGTGGAAAAAGAAAATAGGTGGAAATGGTGCATTTATTGTAAAAAATGGATCGTTAGCCCATCCCCCCTCACCCCTTCCCAAAAGTTTTGTCCTATTATACCGTAACATTTCAAGAAGGCTGCCCAAATTTGCGACCAAAATGAAGCACTCAGTAAAAAATGTAAATCCAGCGGCATTAATGCCCTTGTTAAATTCTCCATAATTTAGATTTTGCAAAGTCAAAAACAAACACGATGGATGGGAATGCTGTCGGATTGGCGGTATTGGAGGTCACAGAAGGACATTGTTCTAGATGCTTAAAACAAACTGTATAATATTGATTCTGTATAATAATGTATAATACTGTTGCTCAGCTCAATATTGATTACACAAAGTCTCTTGATTTGGAAAAAACTTTACTCTAGGAAGTCATATTTTTACAACCCATTTCTATATGATAGGCCTGTCTGACAGATGGCTAGCTTGTTCGCGAGCCAACCGATTGGTAAAAAAACAAACCAAGGTGTAAACGTTGATAAAATAGTAAAAAGGTAATTACCACTGAAAGACGCCCAAGCCATGCCTCTGAGTATACCTCACAGTTGAGAGTCAGAACCCATGTATTCTACAAACGAAAATCGTTGCTACAGTGTTCACGTTGGACGTTTTCTTCTTCCGCAGAACTCTGACAATTACAACAGTGGTTGTTATAATGCGAACAGGAAATCGTCATCTTTGTTGTTTTGTTGAGCCCTAACCACCTCGATCTATTGATCCGTGGGGACAAGGTGAGCTAAGGTGCATTAGATTTCAAAGCATGCAAACGTGAATATTTTATGCAGGGATGAAAGTTTATTAAAGCATCCCTCATTTATAGATTCCAGACTGTTGCTTTGAGTATTCTATAATTAACGATAAAAACAGCTGTAGCCAACAATAACAAAAAATGAATAGTTTAAAATACCTTGAGCTGTTCGTATTTCGACGTAACAAGCTTAACATGCAGGCTTAGTCCTTCCTATCCCCTGTGATCTAATGAGCCTTCGTCGTATATCCGGATAGTCGCTATTCAGAAAGTCTTTCTTGGATATTGAAGTCAAAAGGATATCAGCTTCGCAGAGAATCTGTAATTAGATTATGCATGTTAGGTCGAGGCTGAAATATCGCACGAAACATATATTGCTCTGGAACCAAGGACGCCTGCGCCAGGGGGCAGCGGGGACAGTGGCCCCCCTTGCCCTTGAGAAATTGAGCATTTTTATTTGCTTTACTATGGTTTTGCCCTCTTCGAGTAGAGGGTTCTCTGTCTGGAGCTGCTTCGCTTAGTTTAGTTATTCATTGTTTTTCTTCTTATTAATTTGTATTTGTTAACCTTAACATTTATCCAAAAAATTTTGCCTTGATGTTTAATTTTTTTTCTAGTTCAATGTAAATTCATGCATGTAATATAATAGGGTGAATAACTCGATAGCTCGTCTGAGTTCTTTTTATTTGCCCTAAGCTCTATCAATTATAAGTATGTTTAATCATGTAGCCTGTGATTAAAAGTTGAATTCATTATAATTGAATTGAATTGAATTGAATTGAATTATTTACAACGAGCTACAAGCAGAAAAAGAAAAGAGAACAAGGGAGATTGAAATTGCAAGTCAAATTGCAGCGGAACAGTAAGTCACACAAAGTAAACACAAATACACGAGACGGAAACATTTTTAATATTGTAACGCTGCATAATCATTTTAGCCATATACCATATCAGTCGTTGCATAAACCTTTTTAATATTGTATCATATATTTTTATTTCATACTAACTCTTTATAGATAGTTGGCCTTAATTAGCTTCTTTATAGCTATCAGCCGTTCATTTAGTACGCCAACGCCAACTTTAAACAAATTATTTATTATTATTATTATATTATTATTATATTATTATTATTTATTATTATTATATATATTATTGCTAATTTTCTTTGCAACATTACATTGGCTACGAGTCCCTGTACCCCTTTAGGCCTTAAATACACCCCGTTACTCCCTAATCTTTAATATGTTAACGGTTATTTCCACAATTTTTGGTGCGTCAAACGGTTTTTAATTGAACTCTGAGTTTTCAAGCTGTATTATTATATGGCAATAATACCTACATTACAAAAAAGTGAAATTTGCATTAGACAGATGTTCGTATAGAATGTTCCTCCTAGCTCGTGAACAAGCTATAAAATTCCAAAACAATTTTTCGTCCGAATGCTGCCAGAAACTACGTTCTCCATGTTTTAATATCATACGTAAGCTGTGGGAATCTCCCTAGAGGTAAAAGCATCACAAGAGCTGGAGATGAAAAGCACCTCTGATCTCTGAGCCATAAATTGGTATTTTACCCTATTTCTGGAAAGTTGGAACACGGGCCCCCCTGTGTCCACAGGCTCCAACATCTATGGGGATGCCCCATCCAATGATATTATGGATACGATCTTTTTTTATTTCTCGTAGCATTAGTCATTGGCATGTTAATTTATTGTTCGTTTCAATTCGCGACCTCGTGGTTTCTATGCTCATATAAAACATTTTGTTATGAAAACGTGTAGACTGTGATATTGTGGTCACTTAATGTAATTAACGTAACATTGTAAGATAACTTGTACTTTTCTGTTTCTCTCTGTTTATCCAATATGGCTATAGAATGGAAAAAGGGTTAACCTTTTGTCGAGATAATTCAAAATGCGATTTCCTTAGCTCGTAATGTCATTTCCCTATGTATTTAGAGAACGTTAAACGCAGGTTTAAATACAAATCTGGAGTTTATGTTATAATTCGTACACTCATGTTATAATTCGTACACTTTTCAAGGAAAACCCTTATTCAGTAGTCATCCAGATCATGTGCAGCATCATATTAGATCTAAACGACAACTTTTGTTTTGGTTTGAACTCCTAACATTTTTTACCTGGGTGCCAGAGCCAGTGGTGGATTTAAGAGGGGGTAACTAGGGGCAGTCTGGCGCCCAATTTTTGGAAATTGTGCGCTCCTTTTGAAGAGTGACAACGAGGGGAAAAAGTTACCGAGACCTAAAGGTTAATTTACTTCAGGGATTACCTCAAAGTTAACTTGTTTATTCCAAAAATGGATCATGTTTCACCAGAAAAATCATGCTTTGGAAGACAACAAGGGCTATCCATAAGTCGTGTTCTTTAATTCCTGCCTTCATTTGTCAAATCTTAAAGTTGTCAAATCTCCATGTCACAATCAAACCAAATAGCATATCGAACAGCATAAACTACGGAGCATATCTATGATAAAACATTTGTCTGTGCTTAGGATCCTTGGTTCTCAGTCGATGCTGTAAATATCCAAGACATAGTTGCGAAACTTTTTCTGCCACCAGCCATATTGGCCGCCTTCATCAAACCCTGAATAATCAATCTTACCTTTTGTATTAATCGTAATACTGACGTACTTTTGAATTTTAGGTGCATTTTTTGAAGTACTGTCTTTTTATACAGCCTCCAATTGAAACCTAAATGAAACCTAAAGCAGCAAATTTTCTGGGCCCTCCAAAATTTTATTTCTCGGTAAGGAAGAAGTTTTCAAGTCAGCCCCTTTTGCAGAGGACTCTAGCAGAGCTGGAGCTACTATGGCGGAGCAGCGAATGTTCAGCCAGAAAATTATTCTATTTAGAGAAAATTTGAATAAGAGACCTTCAGTAATGCCAAGACCATATCAGTGCTTTGACTCACTTATTGTGAAAATTTTTAGAACGTAAAAAGAGAGGCTTCTGTCAGTAGTTAAGGTCTGAAATTGTTTAATACATCTCCCTCTAAAATGTGCCCAGGAAAGTTTGAGCCCCTAAACATGGATGAAATTGGTGAATGTGCGATTGATGAATTTCAATCAGGTAGGACCGTCTTTTTTTCGCCCTTCTTCTTTTCCTCTGACCCAGGGAGGGGTACTTATATATTCTTAGGAGAGGGGTGCACGGATTACTTTCCTGGGTCTAAAAAGTGAGCAATATTATCTTTTGGTCAATTATTATTCAATTACTTTGTGGGGTTCATGAAGTTCCGAATTGTTTTGAATCGAAATGGAGAAAAGAGTCAAACTTCCTTGTGCAGTTTTAGGAAAACAATGTTTCGTATCAATTCTATGCTAGGATTTTTTTTGGGTTTATGATTTATATCAAAGCTTAAGCACCCCTGTCTTAGATATAAATGTGCACCCTTATAGGTCCTTTGATAATTGAACATTCAGAGTATTTACTCAAGAAAAAAAATTGTTGTGCTTTCTCTACACATATTCATATAGAAAACATTGCGTCGTGCTAAACATTTTTTCTTTTGTCGAAATATAAACTAAAACTAATATTATTAGTAGCAGAAACTTTTAAGCTTTACAAAGTCGCTGATATGTTACAACATTATATTTACAAAAGCTGCCAATGCTAATCAGTATACAATTAGTTTGCAGAAAAAGCCGATTATGGTGCAAACAGCTAAAATATACCGCACTTTCCGCACATCTGAATGAAGCTGGGGCGGTCTATAAACTATTGTAAAGTTTAAATACTACCTGAAAAACTATGGTCTTTAAAAAGAGTAGGTGCATATTGTCCCGGATTAGAAGAGTACATGTTACTAGGAGCACTAACTGAAGTTGAACCACCTATGCTCATGTTTGGAAATGTTGAAGACGGTGGAAAACCACTGCCGTTTGAGCCGGGCATAAAATACTTCATGTCTTGTGCTGAAGGCATATTTGCTGGGTTGAAATAATTCCCCGCTTTTGATGGGTCCGACATACCCGGATGATAAGGTGAGTCGACACCGGTTCCGGGTAGGCGGAAAGAGTCCGACATCATCTTCGGATAGGAGGCTGGGAACTGATAAGGAGGCAGGACAGGGCCTCCAGTTGGGAATCCAGTTGGAAAACTCATTGGTGGGTAAACGTTTTGGTTTTGCTGGGCCTTTCTTTTTCGTCGTCTTGGCTTGTATGAGTAATCTGGATACTTTTGGCTATGTATTGTTCGCAGCCTTTTCGATTCTTGTATATATGGTTGTTTTTCTTCGTCTCCCATGCGACTCCATTCTGCGCCTAAAAGCTTGCTTATCTCACAGTTCAACATGTTTGGGTATTTCAATGCTAGCTTCCGTCGTTCAGTGCGAGACCAAACCATAAACGCATTCATAGGTCGCTTCACGTGATCATCATCGTCCTCAGTTGTGTTGTTATTCACCGCCGTGTTACCACCTTGGTACCCAGTAACTGTATCGCTAGTTTGTGTTTTTGGCGATGACGTTTCCGACTTCAAGTTATCTTCTGCCTTTAGCGGATTCATTACGCGACCTGTTCCGATAAAATGATAAATATGTCAGTAACTTGTAGTATGGTTCTAGCAAGGGACATATAATATGATATTAACAGTCGAAAGGGTTGGGCTCTGCAAGCAGATCAACTACACTGACTATCACAGATCTTAAATGATGTCATACCAAGACTGAACATCGTCAAAAAGCCAAAAATTAGAATGGCCCTCTGCACAGTTTATAATACATTTGATACAAATCAACCAATTGTCTTTTGTCTATAATAATAAGAAGAAAGACATTTATAGGAAAGGACGAGTAGATATGAGAGTTTGGAGATCTTGCATTGAAAAGCAATATCTTTTGAAATGTTTTTCTGAAATGTGAAAATTTGAAAAATGATTTTATTCATCAGTTTCTTATCTGAAAAAAAATCATGAATGAAATTTAACGAAACAGCTTGATTAGACATGCTATAGCAATTTCTCTTGGCCGAAAATTATTCAAATTATGTTGATGATTGCAGCTTATTATTTTAGTCACTTCTCGAAACTCTTCTGAACAGCTATATAAATGTTCTACCAAGCTACAAGCTCGATGATACTCTAAAGAAAATGAAGAGTCTGAGAAATGTTGTAATGAAGAGAACTCAGCATTGTCTAGAAGTTACCTCTACTTCAGGTAGATTTGATTGTCTCAACCTCACGAATATCGCAGAAGTTGTATAAAATATTGCTTTTTCATCGACTCCCTCAAAGTTTTATAGGAAATCTATGCTCGAAGACTGTCAGATATGAGAAGGTAAAAAAGGCAACCATCACATTCACTTGGTAAACTCAATTTTTATATATCACATAGATCGACATGGTTCTATCCGTGCATCATCTGGTACATTCTGTTTAAGATGATGAATTAATAATAGACTGGTGTTGGTAATGTTGTTTTTGATCAACAACAAAACACTAGACAGATGCAGTTAATTTTTTTTCTTCTTTTCCTTATTATTGCAAAAATGTTATCATTTAGAATCTTCCACAACAAGATAGAGAGTAGAGTGATTTAGGATGGCCCCTGACTTCGACCTTTCGGGTTAAGACTTTCCACGACAATATCTATAAATAGCCCGTGATATCATGTAACAAATTAAATATAATTGATATAATATGTCTAGTTCAGAATAATTACTAATATATTTAGGAAACAATTTTTTGCTAAGGAGATTATTTGTCTTAGCCAAGACTTAGGCGGTGCTAGCTAGCTTTTGCCTTAAAATCACGACACGGTTTAATAATGGCATATTATTGTTGAACTGTCAGACCAGAATGAATATTCCATTACTTCAAACAATATTTTTATTAGCTTATAGCTGTTCTGCAACTTTGCAAGCCAGCCTCAACATTTTCGTAGAAATTCAAAATGACAGATGATAGAAAATAGTCTTCAATTGCAAATTAATATTACTTGCAAAATCTTAGAGCACAACACTTTTTGCAACTTGTATGTTCAGTAGAGAAATTTTTCAAATAGGAGAAACATTGCGAAAAAACTGCAGTATATTGCCTCAAGTAAAGATGGTCTTGGTTGGCCCTGTGAATAGTACCGCGGCATGCCCGTCTGACAATTCAATGAAGCGAATCAACAAGCGCACGGCCTATGGACATGCATCTCTCGCGTCTAACGTAGCAGAGCGCCCAACATATCTCAGCTATTTTATGTGGCAACAGTGTTGAGGTCAGCAAGAATGTTGCAAAAAAAATGACTTTAACTGCATAGGAATTCTCCGCTAAAGCAGTGCAGTGTATCTCAAAGGGAAAGCTCTACACAGTCTTTTCTGATGAATTCACATCATTTCCCGTCTAGCATATTTATGGGGAGAAATCAAAGAGGTTATGCTAGTTCGACGATAAGGGTTAGAAATCCGAGGTTTCGAACAGCAAACTTATGGGACAAAATAAGCATGCAGTATACAGCAAGCTGATAAGAGAGCTTTTTGTAACATCTGCATCCACCGTTCCCTACTGAATAAACCAAAACCTTACACTCATCAGCAAAATTTTAACAGCCTTTGCAAAAAAAGCTACGACTATCAAAGAAAGCTGAGAATATATGCATATTTCCTTTCGATTGATGAGGACCGGATAGTCCGATTCCTAGAATTGCGAAAAATAATGTATGACTTAAATATTGTTTAACACTTTCTGGTCACTAGCCTTGCAATTCGATCACGCATGGTTATACTCCACCATTTTCTACAATGGTTATTTTCATTAAAACTAAGGACGTCCCTAGCATTTAGTAAGCCAAAGTTATGACGCAGCTCTCCTAGACACTGTCCTTTTAACTGGATTTGCGAGTTACCTGAGCAAATATCTCCCAAAGTTCATAACATTACTGCGAAACGTATTTCAAGTGAACTAGGGCTGCAAAGCTGTAAAGGCCATTTTTGGCTCCACCGACTTTAATGGCTTTCGAATGCAACGACCAACTACACTGCTGAAATTTTCTTTGCTGAAGTTATATGTAGCTCTACATGTACTTATCAATATACATCTACAGACAGTTAAACAGAAATAGCATTTTCTAGAAGAAGAGAAAAATACCACGTTAAAAGAAAATTAGATGCATTCGGTTGTTTGCTACGAATGTTGTGGTTCCACAGCATCTTTTAAAGTCCTTCTTGTTGATATTCGGTAACACTCTTTGCATGTCACGAAAAGCGTTATCGTCATTGGCTATCAGCAGTAATTGAGCAAATATCTTCTCCAGAACTTTTAATCGTCGACAAAAAGGTATAGAAATGCATTTCCAGACTTAACATCTTCCTACTAACACATCTTCATCGATAAATATGATTTGCAAATCACCAACGCACCAAGTCACAAATATATAGAGAGGTTTACGCCCAAGCTGACTCCAATGAACAAAGATCCACTGAGTTAATTATAAGTACTCAAGAAGTGCCTATAAAATGGAACTAAATCGCTTTTGAATACTATTCAGGTGTAATAGAGAGCAATGGATAAGCGATTTACGAATGTTAAAAACAATTTAAAATTGTTGATAATTATTGGTATACATACCCAATAGTTATTTGGCCTGGTTCTTGAATACTTTTGTAGCCTTGAATGGATTTTTGCAATAGACTGCTGTAAGGCCTTCCACATGAATTCGACTGAGTGAATAGGCTTGAATACTTCGCTTACCCATGCCCAACAATTAATTATTAAAACGAACACAATGAATAGCGCAAGGGGCAAACTCAGGGTGGCCGAATGATCATTGAGCAGCGAGGCGGTGTGTGTTTGGTAGCAAGGATTGAAATATTCACTGGACTCTCTATTCATAACTTTAGATATAACAAATGGAAACTTGAATGCTTATTTGTGTTGAAACTTTGAGCATGAAATTCTTACCGTTGCAAGCAGTTTAGCACAAAAGCGCAGCAAAAGGGGCCTTTTTGAACAGAGATTTTTTAAGAATCTTTAGCGATGGTTAGTACACTTTTGGGGTTAAAAACGACGAAACAGGTGTTTCATTTTCATGAAAACACCTACAGCGTGCCTTCACGCGTTCCATGCTTCTATGTTAGCCTCTCATCAGTCATAAAATAGCATTAGAAGGAGGCTGCTCTTTCGTTGACTTATTTTTTTCCCTCAATTTACTTGATATTGCAATAAAAAACTGGCTCCGCGAGTCGACTAAAGCAAGAAGTAAAATTGTTTGGATGATTGGCTTTCAAATAACCTGTCACTAAAGATGACGAGATTTTGCAGACTTTCTCCCATTTAAATGTTGATGATTTTTGAAATATTTTTTATAACAGCATAAACTTCCTGATTTTGAATTTGGAAAAGGGCGTAGCACAATGCGCTGTATATACATATTGCCCCTCAAGTGTCTGCAAAGGTTTGTGCGGAACTGTGGCTTTTCATCAAACGTGATCAGTAGCTATGCTGGACTGGAAGGTCATTGTGCAACCCCATCTTCCCCCCTCTTACTATTCCATGACTATACTATGCCCGAGTTTAGATGCAAGTCTAAACTAACTTCAGCATTAAACTAGAGCATACCATGTGCATTTTGTCAGGTATATCTTACTAGGAAGAATAAAATTTATGTTCATGTTTTGTCTGATTCTCAGTTTATTCATCTAAAATATATTCTTTTGACAGAATGTATCATTTTTAAGTTCACTTGTGACAATCGGAATAAAGTTAATTGAATAGTGAACTACATATCTTTAATATAATTACTCCTTGTCCTGTCTGTCATGTAATGCTCATGCCCAACCTAACGTTCTATACACCAGCGCGTATCACAGATCTTTATGGTATGGACGAAACTATATCTTGTTTCAATCTAATACTTTATTCTTGATGTTTTCCAAAGTTCTTTTAAATTAACTTAATTCAAGCAAAACTACAGCAATTACTGTCACTTGTAAGCCTTTTCTATTGACAAATTCACATCTACAACAAATCACTTTCACATTTCTTTTCACATTATTGGTGTTTATTAATTTGTTTGTTGAAATGAATCAGGAAATCTCAATCCTCCTTATATCGTGAAATCCATCTGCATGCTATAATGAATACAGCTTTATTGAATATTTCTCAATGAATTTATATTAGTTTACTAATAGGTTATATTAGTTAAACAGTTGCTGGTACTAAAAACTATTTCATTTGTCTCGATTAGATTTGGCTGCACACGTTTTATTGAAATAGACTGATCTAAACATGTTATTTGAACAATAGCCTACCAAACACTACGTATCAAGCCCTGGTCACATGCTTCGCTGCCTGTGCCATTATTTAATGTATCGTCGTGTTGTTTTGTTTCATAATTCTTTTTGTTGGCTTGATGTGGTACTTATACCACAACGACCACAGCAGTAAACTGTATGACGTAGTCACAATAAAGAGAAGCCACCAACCAAAGCATGTCGTCTTTTTTTGCAGTTGTCATCTTCACACAAGTCCACATGGAGTCTCAGCAGTCAAAAACATTGAAAATTTAAGACCTTGTTTTTAATTTGCAAGCCAGCAGTCAGTTGGAGCCAATTTCTTTTAATTTCCAGGCTTGCTTGACTCAAAATATGTTCTAAACGGGCTAGGTAGAAAACACAAGGCATTTTATGATATCAAAATGTCGTATTATGACGTCACAAAGAATGGAAAGAATGCTCCAAAGTTATTCCTGAAGACCAACCAAATCCGTTTGAAGCAAATCGCGCTTGTAGGGCGTAGCATTTACTTGTTACCTTCAGGGCCAAAAGATTGCCGAATTCAGCTTGCTCGCCTATGCGCCCTGTTTTTCAGGGTTTGTGATGCGAGGGGGCTTTTAAAAGGGCAGTTTCCCCTTGAGGTAGCATTAGTCCATACATTTATGCAATGGTTGCAATGTAATGACATCATGATAATGCGGTGAATATGTAGCAGTTAACCGAAAACCATCGATATCTATAAACATAAATACATAACTTTAACCACAGCCATAGCAGTTAGTAACTTTGCAACAAATTAAAATGGCTTATATGAAATTATTTACAAAAAAGTTGTCTGCCCTGATGATTTTCCTTTAAGCCGCCACTAGTTTTCAATGCTCAAGAGGGGTGTTTTGGTCCAACTTGTTGACAAAGCACCCCTTCATGGCCAAATTCTCATTTTTGCTATGACATTTTTCCCAGGGGTGTGTAGCACACCCCCATGCGCCACCGTAGTGACAACCCTTTTGATGCTGGACCATTTCTTCTCACGCCATCCTTAACAGGAACATTCGACTGTGGTGATAAGCTTGTTGGCAACATTTCGATAAGTTTTCGATAAGTTATCTCTTTCATTGACAAGACCCACCCACTTTATAGAGCAAACAAAATTTATCTTTTGTGAATGGCGGCTTTTTTATTAAGTTCCAGACAGTACCCGATAGTAAAAGGTTCTGAAATCAGGCCAAATTCCATGCGCAATCTGGCAACGGGGAAGACGGAAACCACAAACCTATCCTTTTAGTGTTTTTAGCAATCATCGAGTTTACTCTCCAACGTTTATGTCCTTTTTTGAGGAATTCAAATACTTATTTCTAAGCCCAAAAGAGTTCAATGATTGCCGTTTTAGTGAAAGGTAGGTGCACGGGTATTTTCTTCAATCATTTGATCTTGAGAAGAAAATGCAAGTTCTTTTTCTGGGAAATTAGCCTAAGATTCCAAAGCTTTTCAAAAACAACGATTTGAGGCCTGAATGTGGTAACTGAAGTATGAATGTAGTCGTGGTTACTTGAGCTTCCTCAAGATTTCCATCTTCTGTCGAGAAATTCTGCCAGTATAGAAAGATTGCACTCTGAACTTGTTTTTTTCAATAAATTTTCTGCTTGATTTTGGCTATTTGATATTTAAGAATTTGGGTAGGACTAAAAACTAAGGGAGATCACAGATGCTAATTGGAAGTCACCTATTTGCATTGCTTTAAGACACCCCTAAGCTCATTTTAAGCCTTCGTTGCTCAATGGATATTCTAGTGATTGGAGTGGTTTTTGAATATGTAATTACGTATTGAAATACAAAAAACATTTATTTTAAGTTGAATACAATGCTGCAAATGCAACGGCCCTGGTATAATTCTTCAGTCTGATTACAACTTGACGCATTTGCCTCAAGTGCTTGCTATTTGCATGCCATCACTTGAATCGAATCTAAGCAGCATCAATAGTTTGAATGCAGAAAACAAAATTCCCTCGTGAATAGCGTCCCATTCAGTGCACGCTTTATACATACCTGTTGTTTTGTGGTAGTTGTTCTTCGTACCAGAAATGAATTAGGCGCAATACAAAGCAATGGTGGCTCTATTCAACACCGCATTTTTTCCCGCCTAAACCTTACTGGTGCCCAATGCTGCTTCGAAAGATCGGCTTCAAAGGGCGTCACAAGTTTCGTATTGTTTACTAATTGCTCGTTATAACAGCCGTTACAAATAAAGATATGAAAATCCCTTCACAGAGCAGCAGACAGCAGAATTTCTTCACAATGTCAGGGACGCTATGAAACGCAGGCCTTCCCCCTGCGGTTTTTCAACTACAAAATCTAGGATGGACCATTACAATTTCTGTTCGATTTGAATTCAAAGCCCTATTATTCTTAAATTGAAGGAAACTACCTAATTTGCCCCTTCTTAGGCGCAGTTAGCAAATATTCGCGATTTTTGCAACTTGAGTAAAAAAGGCAAAGTAAAAATCTATATGAATCTAAATAAAGACAATATTCTAAAGAATGTCTCACTTGGGAACATCTGGAAAAAACTGTCGGTCAAAACCGTTTAATCCAAAGTTGTGATCCAAAGTCAAGAGAAAATGGCTCTCTTTGCATCGCGTTCTTCCATCCATGGCTCAACAAGTAACCCACCGAAGAGTGAATACATTTTCTAACACATTGTGATAACAAAGAGAAGTTTCTTGCAAGTTAAACAAACAAGAAATCCCTCTGGTAATGAAAAGGCAATTTATAATCATCAGGGGCATTAAGATCAAAGATGCAATAACAACCCATGGGGTTTTAAAGTATTTAGGCGGTTAAGAACGCAATGTGAATGATTTTCAATGATGTTGTAACTCCGAATAAATACGTCACAGTTGGAATACGTGAGGGTGGTCATTCCTAAAAGGGGGGAAGCCGACAACGCGGGTTAGGAGCTAACCGGTTGGTAACGGGGTTGTTTATCATGATGCGGGTTCGCTGGGATGGGTAGCTATGGCATTGGGTGGTCTATGAGGGGCTGCAAACAAGTGAAGCTGGGAAGAATGGAGGCAAAACTATGGGATACAGGGAACAAATTGGGTGTGTTATATAATCACAAGGATTGCATTGCGATAAGAACTAGGAACGAAAAATGCACAAGTGATATAATTTTGGAGGGGGGAGGGGGGAGAAAATTGAATCCAATTCGGATCCACTTGCATCATGAGCATTCAGAGAAGTGCCGGGGAGGCATTGGCACTAGAGTAAAACAACTTATTAAAATGGAAAGATAGTGCGAAAAGGTCAAAACAGGAAATGCTTTTGAAACAAAGTAGATCCCAATATTTAGTCGCTTGCAAGCTTGCCCAAGTTAAATGTTGGAGAGCGAGCCCAAACGAAAAAATAAAGAGGAAGAACCAATTTATTGAACCATTTTCAAACTAAAGAGGTAGCAAAAAAGAAAATATTCCATTAGACAACAGTACAGCAAATTAACAAGACTTCATTGCTATTAAATCATCAATTACAAAACATCAATCACTGAAAATGACTTAAAAAACACGAAACAACTGAATGACAAGAACACGGTTAGAAAACTTGATTAACGATCCAATTCTCTAATTGCTAAAGTCGATTTACAAAACATTACTACAAGAAAACCTACAAACAATGACAGGCCTGGCAAAAATTGCACCAAAGGACGGAAAAATTAGCATCGAAATCTCATCGTCTTAAAAAGTGTTCTAGAAACGATGCCACATTGGAAATAACAAACTGAAATAAGCAAAACTTGATTTAGATTATTTCAAAGTTGTGCTATTGTTTTACGAACCTATTTCTGTTTTCTAAACACTCGTCTTAATCCGTCAACTAAACAAACAACACTCGTCTTTATCAGAGCCATATACCAATCTGTACAGTTTATATCTACAAAGTATCGGTTTTTCGGAATAGCTAAGTTCAAGTGTAATATAATTCTAAAACAGCAAAAAGTTCTAAATTAAATTAAAATAAAAGTAGAATGCATCTGACTATAAAGACCTGTTCAGAAAAACGACTGAACAAATTAAATGTCAGCCTGATTAAATCTAGCACAAATGACACCAACTGAAAAATCTAAGCCTGTCTAAATAGTCAAAGGAAATAGGCCTAGCCTAGACTATAATGTTTCTGGGGGAGGGAGGGTAAGAGAAGGAAGGGGGAGGGGAGGGGTGCAGGGGGGAGGGGGGTTGGAGAGTTTGCACTGATTAACTGTAAACTGCATAAACTCTTGATAGAAATTTATAACAAACGGAATCACATCAACCTATATTCTACCTGGATGCGCAAAATTGTTGTCACTTCATCCGACTGTTTAAAAATACTCTACGGGAGTTAACTGCTTATGTTGTTAGAGTGAATGATGAATAATAACTGTTTAAATAATTCGATTTAAAGAAAATCATCCATTGGAAATATACAAGGGCATAATTTTAAAATCAATCCTTTATTGATACCCACATAATTATTCACTATTTGTGCTCACATCCTTTTTAAATTAATTATTTTTCTTCCAATAAATTATAAGAACGCTAGAGTATGAAAATTTCTACCTAGACTACGATTTTGGGCTAATGTCAAACTAGAGAAAAAAATCTCCGTGCAAAAGAATTTAATAGCTTTACAGCGTTGGCTAAAGGCGACTGAATTTCATTGCAAACTACCCAAAGAAACGGGCAATGGAATACGAGCTCTTACGGAAATATTTTGTCAACTTGATATGCATGTTACTAGCATTCCATATATGAATCTTCGATAATTCAAGGCTAGAAAGTCTTAACGAAATTTTGACTTTTTAGATAATTCAACCACAAACGAAAAGTTATTATATCCACATTGTCATATAAAAACTTCTATCTGCCACTGAAAAGATCATTTCTTCATTCCACACGACTGTTAAAGCCGTGAAAGGTAATTTAGGATACCCGAACAAGTTAATGGGCAAAAGTGGAATATAAACTGCAATACTTGTCCGGGCAATGTCTATACAAGACAGAAAAATCCCACACATTGCACACGTTTTAATTGAAATGACCTAGTAAATTTTCATGAAATTTCAGATAGAGGAAATATTTATTCAACTGGTAATAGGTACCAGATGAGATACAGTAAACGAAGTCAACACTACCAGCAGATTAGAAGATGTTTGCAACTTCATTTGCAACACATTAACAAGACTAGTTTAAACTGACTCACAGCTGAGACACAAAACGAATTGGACAACAAACAGGTTCGGTTATGAGTCATTTGAGATAATGGCTTGTACCTGCTCGTCCATGGTGGGGGTCGGTTTCCAAATTCTCACAAGACGATCGCTAAGATGACAAGAAAGAATACATTGCAAAATATCGCAGCAAAATCTAATCAAACAGGCCGTAGAAACAGAGAACATAAACATTACATGTCGCAAAACTTAAAAAAAGATATATGAAAAACAAAACCGAATTGCATAATACCAAAAGTGCACTTATCATACGGAAAATTACTTCTAGTTTTCTATAAAATGGTTTCAATTTTTTGTGCAAATTTGAAAAATAGAGAAAAGCAATTTTAACTTCATTGCAAAATCCTCTCCCCGTCCTTTCTCCATCTTGCATTTTCCAGATACTTCTTCCCCCTTGCAAATAATTTCTCTTTAGCTGCTTCCCTCTCTTATCGATCCAATTCTCTTTTCTCCTACACCCAACTTCGACTCTTTTGTCTCCCGGCAGCAGTTTCTTATCCACTCTGTATCCCTCTTTAACACATACCCCCCCCCCTCTTTATCAACCCAAATTCTCTCTACAGATGCTACCAAATCTTCTTCCACACAAACCCACTGCTGGAATAAAACCCCATTGCAAACGTGTCCTCAATGCTGATTGTAAGATGCTGATCAAAATCTCGACCCAAATCACAAGTGATATAATTAACAAAGTGAAAGCAAATCTTACCTAGAAGCTGTAAAAACTAAAGAAGAATTGGCTGATATCGCATTGATTGATTTAGAATGGGCATTGATTTCGCCTGCAAATTAAAGCAAAATTAAAAATTAACTCTAAGAAGTACAAATGCTAACGAAATCCAAGGGACTAAATGAGCTGGGAAAAACTAAATTCAACAAACCCAAGGTTCCTAAAAACTGTGAGCATCCCGGGAAGTTAAATAGATCTAAAATGCTCTGAAGAAAGACCATAATTAGGGGAAGGGGGCGTGTGGGGCGTTTGCCGCGTAGGGAGTTACATCCCCTTGCCAAAAAAATCCCTATCAGAAAACTGAGAGTTTTTGTCACCTTGGGGTGCTCCATCAACAGCACATATTCAAACTTCGGTAATTGCGCCCTTGACACCCCTTTGAGCATAATAGCTAGCTACGCCCCAGCTCTGTAGCCTTTTGCTAATCTTGTCAATCAGTATTACACATGAATTCATACCTATTTGTGTACATGATTCTGAATGCCAGGTTTTTAATACTCCGCTTCGACATCCGCTTGCCACTACGTCATATTTGGGAACGAGGTTAAGTGAGCACACCCAGTCTTTATGAGCCGTTGTTATATGCTGTAAAAAGAAATGGATAAATGTATTAACATTAACATGACAAGTCGGAAACAGCACGGCGCAAATCCCCAAAAGAGCTAGAGGGGAAGAAAACCCCTGGGTTTATTTTGTCCCATAAAAATTATACGAGTTTGACTTAATATCGTCCAAAACGTAATGTTTTTTCTGAGCCTGTGGAAGAAAACAAGCAACGATTCTAAATTGTAATAATTGCCAGCATTTTTCAGAAAATAACACAGGAATATACTTTTCATTATAGAATTCTTATTCTCTTGCACAATCTAACAATTTAAGTCATATAATTGAAAATGATATTTTTTCCAAAATGAGCTTCAAAAGTCACTTAAGAGAAAAATATCGATCGATCGTTGATTCCCCAACAAAAACATTTAATGAAAACATAATTGAAAACAAGCATTTGTCTTTGACCTCTCTTTGAATTTATGTGAAATATTGCCAAAAAGGGTCCATCTAGTTTATCAATGGGGTTAAAATACCTCTCAATGTGCAAAATTAGCTAGATACGTTTCAAATTGGGCGAGATATGGCCAACAGAAGATTTGAAGTTTGCTAACGGATTTCTGTTATTCTGGCCTGGTTCATAAAGTTATGAACCAAGACCAAATTACAGAGGTTTGATGGGGCAAGAGCCTGTGCTAATGTGGTGGCCATATCTCAGCCAATTCATAATGCCTTTAACTGATTTTGCATATTTAGAGGTATTTCATTTTGTTATTTTAGGTTCTGGGATCAAAATTCAGAAATTCTAAAAATAGGTGTCTATGACGTCATCACTTCGGTACTCAATTAGTAAAAACATAACGATAATATCCAGTGGATTTTCAACCTACTGATCGAGCCACAGAAAGCTGATCAGTCTAATAAGAGAGTCGCGACTTGGCATTGCCATCAGCTACTGACAATACACCTGTGGACTCATTTACGCATACACCGAACCGCATTGCGTATTGGATAACCGGGCCATTCAGTATTCAGGGTGGATGAATTAATTGAGCATGAATTGTTGTGTGAATATTTTGAAATTTGCTATGTCGGCAACGTAGGCAACGAACATGTTCAAAAAGCAAGAAATGAAGATTTTACAATCAACTCTAACTTCATTAAAATGTAGCAAGCGAACAATTTCTGGGATAATTTAATCTGGCAGTAGAAAATGTCAGTGCGACTTTATGAAGGCTGCTTTATTTCTGTCAACAAAGTTAGATACATATGTCTTTTTTGCTTGTAGAATTAGGTTATTGAAAAAGAAAGTTTGACTTCTGCAGGCTAAATATTTCATTATTTTCTACGAAAACACATCAAATTAAGCTTGGTTTATTTTGATTGATTCAAAATTTCCAAAACTCAATAATAAAACTAAGAAAGTAAAGTAAAATGGACTTGAGCGGAAAGCTTGAACAGAAATGGGCTGAAAGAGCATGAGTGGAAAAGTATCTTTCAAGATCAAACCGAAGATTTGGAGACCTCGAGTTCTGTGCTCCGAGTTAAAAATTTTTATAGAGAGGTTCTACTGTAAGTGGTTGGGTCATGATGTTTAAAACATCTTATACTTTATTGATTGGCATTCCTGAGGTAATTGCAACTTGGAGAGGGAATAACCCCACGTCCCCAAATATCAATTCTGGAAATTTGTACCAGTTTGATGCCGAAAATGTTGCATGATCAGAAAAGCATTAAAAATTCATAATACTGGGCAGCATGTTCATTAAAACTGTTGAAGTTGTGACGTCTTTTGCGGTAAGGACTGGTCGGTCGTCGTTTAAACAGGTTGTTGACGATCACGAAAATGGGTTACAATCCGAATAACACAGCATCACAGAGCATATAATATTACTCACGTGCTTGAGTTGATAATTATGGAGATTCCACTTCTTTATGCTGTTATCACGTGATCCACTAAAAAGGGTCTCCCCCTTGATTACTAACGACTCAACACCATCGTAATGAGGGGGCTCCAAGTTGTGTCGCGGCATCTGCAAATGAGCGATATTTCGTAAATATAGAGTTCCTTATGCGTTTTTACAGTTTTTCAGCACTTTGTGCTAGCTATATATCGTCACAGAAGGGAAGGGATTGCATTTGATAATTAATAGTGTAATCATGTATCAAGTTTTTTTACTAAAGCTTTGATATAAAAGTGGTATTAGGCCTAAGGTCCACGAAAACCAGGAAAGTAAAACACAGAAAGTCACCTAAGTTTTGTAAATAGCCTCAATCATTTTGAAGGTTTGAGACTGCTTGTGTTTCAAATTGTTTGCTAGCTCCTTTGAAAAAGCAGCAAGTACAGCCTTCTTATCCACATGCTTTAACTCGTTACCAACATTTTTGAATAAGCGATTACCATGTATTTTAACGGTGTTCGACTTTAAAAAGCATTTAAAAAAGCGTAAAAGAGTTCTGGAGATATTTTTCAAGGAGAGAAGACATATACCAAAATATCTTTTTTAGTCAGTGATTTGAATCCTTCAGAATGGAACCCGATAACGACTTAATAAAACATTCTGAAGGCTTTTAAATATCAAAACGGTTACCTGGCTGCCTGAAATATCATCCAAAACTTCAAAAACCTAAAAAAGAGAAACAAATAAAGTCAGAAAACTATCAAATGAAAAAAAATTCATGGTCTCACACGTAGCATAGAGCTTTTTAAGAATACAAGGAATATCACATGGAGCAATTAGGCTTAAATAAATCCTAGTCGTAATTGAAAGCCAGTCATTTTAACAAACGGTTGCTCAATGTCTGAAGCCAATGATCACACACAAACCACGATTACCCTAATTAATTGTATAAAAGAACACGAGAAATATTTACTCATTAGGAAGAGAGACAGAACCTTCTCTACAAACCTTGACATAATGATCTTTAGAACCAGTAACACATATGTCACCCTTTCGATCGCCCTTTGTTACAAGGAGACAAGTTACTGTTCCAGAATGGCCAGAAAGTTTACCAAGTGTTCCATATCTGAAAACGTGAAATATTGTTATTTCTCAAGCTGAGGCAGAGTTTAGTGAAAACTTCATTGAAACTTTAGAAGAAAATAGAGAGAGAAAAGAAGCAATAACGGAAAAAAATTTAATTAAATGCTCTTGCGCAACCGGCATGCTTTGCAACTATATTTTCCGAACCGGCCTAATATCGTACTGCATGGAATCGCAAAATACAGGCCATTTCATCTCATGTAAGATAACAGCTACCGCAAAGCATGCCGGCTGGTCAAGAGCCTTTAAAGGCAAATATTGTTATACATTTGTGACGTGTTAAATAACATTTCGTAAGCCTGTTATGCAAAGATGAATAAATTTCAGAGGACATCAAGAGGCGTCTGATTATGAGAAAAAAATTAAGAATCAAGACACTCACGTTTTTAAATCAACCATTTTCACTGAATTTCCAACTGCAGAATACAAGACATCTCCGGTGCTGTTCAGCTCGAGACACGTAATTGCACTCTCACCCAATTGGAAAAAGTTACCGCTAGAAAGATAAGATAAACAGGGGAAACTTAACAGCTACCCTCCTTCGTTATGAACAACTGGACATTTTGCGAGAAAACTGAGAAAATCAACTAATCATTTAACATACAATTTTAAGGCAGAAAGGTGACACCCGATGCATAAGAGTGAGAATTCGGACGACAAGCCTTAGTCCAGTAAAGGTGCCTACAAAGTATTAGATCATTTCAATCAGACATTTATTGGTTTCAAGAGGAATCCTTAGTTTCAGCTTCATTGATGTTCTTAAAAATATTATGCAAAGAACACAACATCAGCCACAATGTTAAAACGAAAGTAGGCTCTTATGTGCAAAGGTGCAGGTGTCCGTATGCAAAGTCTGGCAAGTTTTATGGAATGTTTACATACCTTAATGTTTTCACACAGACTCCAGTTCTCTGACGGATATCCCAAATCTAGGAGACACAGATTCGTATTACAAATTTACATCCACAGCAAAAAATAAAGTAACACTGATAAGTATATCTGCTTGCTAATTTATAATGCAAGGTTGGAATTTTTTTTAGGTGTAGAAATGCGAAACGTTCGGAAAGAAAGGAATAAGACATAAAACCACCTAAAAAGTATCTAACAACCCCTTCGGTTACGACACTATGCACGCCCTCTTCTAATCCATGGTTCCAATCTCGAAGCATTGCGATATTGATGTAAACAAATATTTGGGCGCAACCAATTAGTTCAATAGAATCAGCCCTCCCCTCGCCCACCCATCAAATACTAAAAAAGGTCGCCATTTACCTTGATGGTCGATTGATTGACTGTAAACACTAGCTTTGTAATTGGTGAGTATTTGACTACTGCGACGTCACGTTTATGACCAGACAACGATAAAATTTCGTCTCCTCTGTTTAAATCCCATATCTTTGCAGTCCGATCTACAACAGCAATACAAATAAAATGATAAATACGATCGAAACTTCAAGAAACTTTCTATTTAGCAATACAAATAGCAGCAACCAAAAAAGATGAATAAACAAGAGTTGTATTAAAAGACTATCATAAAATTAATTCAGTTCTCCAACCCAAACTCTCTCAATTACCATATCTTAATCTCCCTTATTTTTTATCGCTCTGAGTGCCAACTTTAGGGCATCGAAAATTACTGAAAATAAAGATATTCGACGAAGAATTACAGCTAAGAATGTATCATTTCGAAGGGCAAATACTGCAAAAAATACGCGCATGATAATAGAAGCAAAGAAGAACTTGAAACAGGTGTTGAATTACAGTGATATGGGCCTATTCAAAACTATTAATGCCCGCCAAGATATAGCGGATAGCTAATTAATGGAATGTAACATAAGTGTGACAAATGTTTCAGCAAACAATAAATTATCTTGCTGCATCAAAAACCAAAAAGCAGTGCATTGCAACTCAGCATTATCCTCTGAGAAGTGCTTTTGCAATGGCAATTACGTCAAGAAAACAAATCTTCGCGTCCTACCTTTTGACCCAGTAATAAGCATGTTCTCAGTAACTGCTAAAGACAAAACAGCATTCGTATGTCCAGTAGCTGTATGCGTGCACATCAAATTTTCAGGACGCCCTTGAGGTGCTTTTACTGGGAGCATTTGACCCCTGTAATGAATAAGAACAAAATTCCATTTGGTATTTGAGAATGCCTAAAACTCTAGTAGAATGAAATTCTTAAGCAAGGGGAAGTCCAAATGCATCTGAACAAGAAACGGAGGGATGTGAAAGGTTCTTGATACAGAGTGGTGTGAAGAGTGGTTGAACAAAGCTCAGATTTTGAAAACACATAAAGTTAGATATGAGTACACAAGATCTACCATTTTGTATTCATGAAGCCAAGTCTGCATGCTGCAAATCGAGCCAGTTTCATTTACATTTAAAGTGTTAAAGTGTACCATTTACATTACAAAATATTTTTCCAAATAAAGGATCAATCTTAAAGAAGCTACAATCTAATTTTAACTTTAATCACCGTAAAGAATTATCTCTAGCTTAACAAAAAATTCGGATTTATAAGTAAGTTGCATCGTGCAAGAAATGTTTGGCTTTAACAGTTTTATTTCAATAAATCAATGATGGGATTGAAATTTTTTTGAGCGGGTTAATATTTAAAATTTAATAAAATATCTAATAACAAAGATACGATTTTGGTATGTTGAACAGGAGGTTCTAAGTTGCTACTCCGAGTTTCACGTTTAATGCGATCACCAGGTGACACCTCTGCCGGACGGCATCGAGTACTTAATGACAGAGCGGTAGGCAGTAATTTTCATTAATCACAGATGTACGTATAAGGATTCGATAAATCAATTGATTAGGTATGGACATCAGCAACACCCTTTCATCACTTGCAAACACGGATCTCTTTCAAGGTTTTACTACTTAATTAGTTGGGTCTCCGTGGCTACATCTCAAACTTGCGATTGTGATAGCAGTGGGCAAAACAAGGATAAAGAAGAGAGCTCTTCGAGTTTCACATCGCAGCTGGAACTTACAGATCTGGGTCAGCCTCTTGCGGTAGGTTGCTTGTTAGACGTTTGAAAACATCCGTTGAATCTGTTTCTACCCTAATATAAAAGATATAAGGTTAAGGAGTTAGCATTAGGTCAAAAGCGAGAAAGGTATGAGTTCAAAGGTCAAAAAGGTCACACTACAAAGATCAAAGGTTGAATCTCAAACTTTCAGATAATTTTGCAAACGTCAGGTTACTTATTAGCCCGTAAGGTTGTTCAGGTTCGGTGTAAAGTACATTGCCTCACACTGACATACTGCCGCACGAAGACGAAGGAAAGAATCACTGCAAACAAAGCTGGAGGTATATGTTCGTCAAATCGGCCATGATGAATTCTTCCCCAATATATGGAAACTTGGATCTGGTACAAGGTGCGATGAGTTTGAATAACACCAGTCCGATGTTTTCACTTAGATATATCTTAAAATCATATGGTTAACCAGTTATTCGCTGCAAAAAGTCCCACGGTGATATGAAATCTCCTTTACAGAACTTGCACTGTACACAATTTTATTGAATTTATAATGTTCAGAATTGTTTTGTGCTTCGTTTTCATTCATGTCACATAACAGCACAATACCATAATGGTTAGGGAATCTTAAATAGTCTTCCATGAGTTCATCGCACGTCACTTTGTTGCTTGGAAAAAGTACACAAAAAATGACCAAATGGAATGGATGAATAAAAATTGTTAATTGGTTAGACGTTTAAAGCATCGCTTATTTAAACGAGTACCGAAAATCCTCGTATAAGTTCCCCGTGTATTAACTTTCAACCCGGGAAGCAAAAATTCTTGATGAGCCCTTACCCTAGAATGCGAAATTTTACAATGTTTTCAGACTAATCACAAATTCAGAAAATAAAAACGGATTCCGAAATCAAAATGGGAAATTTTTCGATATTTTGAATGCCAACATCAATTTGTAAAGCGGCTTTAGATCATTGTTATAGATCCTATGTTACCTTCAATCTAAGTGTCGTGAACTGCTGAGCCCAAGAAGGGGTTATTTCGAGGATTTACGGTATACGCAAAAGTTTGAGTGTGATGGTTTTTTGCAATTGATAATTAAGGAATATTATTAATTAGCTTAAACATCTAACTATTATATGTTTGATTCGCTAATGAAGTGAATAATAGGTTAATCAAATAATTGAAAAGAATTTGCAGAAAGCGAGGAAGCACCTCATCGTGTATTTATCCCCGCTGTTATTTTCGCCTCGGTTTGATGCATTCTTGGCATTTAGCTTTGCTGTTCTGATAAAAATATCATTTTGATCATTGACTTTGGCATTGTATAGTGAGACCTACTTAAAGTGGACACCGGTCTGATCATAGTTAGTGTGGGGAGGTGTTTTTTATCTAAAGGCACGAACATCAAGGAAGGCAATTCGACCGTTGTGTCCGTGGAGGGTGTCCGATAAAGTAGGCCAATGAAACTTGAAATTTAATTTTCCTTTCGATAAGGATAAGGACACGCAATTAAAGGTTGAGAATTTAAATAAAAAAATCATTTAATTTAAATATACCTTTTAGAGATCAATTCCTCGAAATTAAATATGTTATCTCTAAAGCATTTTAAAGAGCAGTTTAAGCGCATCGAATTACTGTAAAATGATGCAAAAACTTTATATCATGATTTATCAAGATTATCTTTAAAAATGATCATATTTAAAAAAACAACTGTTTATTTAAATCTTTTTTACACCGTTACCTTGGCAAACTTTTATAAATATTATTTGAAGATTCTCCTCGTAAGTTTCCGGAAGAACCAGGGCTAGGGAATCTGAAAAGATGAGGAAAGTTTAGAGTTCAAAGCCATTTGCAATTTCTTCCTAACAAAAAACTGTATTCGCCGATTTCCCAAATATAAAACATTGGCTTTTAATAAAGATTCGAATTCGTGATTACAACTTAATTTATTTTAGGTTACTTCTTAAAATTACTTTCATACTTTAACTTCCTATTGCTTCATGATTCACAGTGATCTGAGTTAGAAATTGTCCAGGCGGAGGAAGAAACAGTTTTTTTCAGAGATTAACGATCCAAGCCATGCTTAAAATCGACACGGAAAGTTGGAAATCAAATCATCGAATCAAGTGGGGGTGATTTTGTGAGGAAACGCCCCCCCCCCCCCCTCTACTCAGGGAATAAAAGCATGTAGACTATCTTTTGATAGTTACAATAAAGTACAGCTTGCTACGACAGTATTTGGAAAAGACAATTACCGCGAAATAATTCGTCTATCTATGGATTTAGCTTGAAATATCAAATGGGTTACCAAAAGAACTTGAATATGTCGATGTTATATAGATTTTCCTACCAAAACCGCATGACAATATCACCGAAAAAAGATAGTATTTACAAATTTGAAGTAACCAATATTTGATCCTTCAGTGCTTAGACTATAAAACTGCTCCATAGCGGCCTTCAATGCTTCCTTCGGTTGCTACAATCAAGTGTAGCTGCCTTTAAGCTACAGAAAAGAAAACCACGTTGTATTCCGTCAATTAAATATACTTACCCTGATCCAGGCCGACTTGCTTTGTCTATGTCAGCGGAACTCTGTTTCCGTAACTGCGTAGGAGAGCCTTTAGCCGATGACGGTTGAATTCTGCTGTGATGGGAATCGCTGAATTTCGAATCAAACGTCCGTGCAGATTTGGAGACACGATTTCCACGCTGAAATGAAGGTGGCAGCGGGCCGTTCGATACCATACCAACATCATTCAAAGAGCCCGTACTTCCAAACGAGTTCGCGCGGCCTTTTTTGTCAAGTTTATTATTAGATGCCTTTGGTTTGATATCGATCGAAGAGGTCTGCAAAGAGCGAGAGCGGGATTCGGAGCCCGTGCTCTGCGAGGAGCTCGGTATCCCGCGGGACATTGTTGGTGGTGGCATCAATTTGGTGTCTATTTCGCTCTTATCCCTTTTCAAAGCTTTGTCGATCTCCATGAGTTTTTGCATTAACGCCTGGTTCACCTCAGGAGTATCCGAGCCTTTGCGAGTCATATTTGCTACTTTTTTCTCCAAAGCATTCTCAAGCTGTTTTGCAGGATTTTCATTTGGACCTGTAGATTGATTTGCAAGTGTCGGTCTTAGAAAATCTTCTGGACATCCTGTTCTTCTTCTGGCCTACAAACAACAAATATTTTTCTTTTAAAACGCTGGCTTTTAGATTAAAAGAATGGTTGAACTATAACTAAAACTAATTCATTCATTATCATTCATTGAAGCATGGTGGCCCATAAGGCAATACTGGTATACTAACATAAAATGAAATAAAATAAATAGCTACATTAGATATATACTAAAAAGAATACAATACACTATTTTCTTTTCTATTTCAAGCAATATGTCAGATAAACTGAAAGCTTTTGCACGTCCTTTGATTATTGTAAAAAAAAACTACCCAACTGACATCACAGTGAAAATAGATCAAGGAAAAAAGGTAATTGGAGCGAAGTAATTTATTGTGGAACTGTAAGGATAAATTAGGCAAAATATAAGATATTCAACTTGAAATAAATCCAGATGAAGGAACTTACTTTTCTTGAGACACTTTTGAAATTCGGTTGCGTTTGGAGCCTATCAACGGAAACAGTTACAATATGAGCATTTTATTAAAAGACAACAATCATAAAATTAAAAAACAAATGATACAATAAAATTGCAAAGACTCGTAACTGAACCATCAGTCATTCTCTATCGATTATTGACAGAAGAAATTACATCATAGAAAGATAAAGCACGATCTTAAAGAATCGAGTTTTTCAATTTGACATATTCAGTTTTATTGAAACTATCCTAAAAACCATAAAAGTTAGGAACGGTTTCAAAAATCTAATTTGCGATGCGAGTATTTGATAGACAGTATATAACATAGAATGTCTTAACGCCCTGCTCAAATATGACATATAAAAGAGTACTATACCCATTTTCACTGAGCGTGTCCTCCAGAAGACCAGCTTGGTACTCTTCATCGCCACCCGCCTCTCCAAAGTGCTTCTCTACGAACACGTGCTGAAGTAGTTGCTGTTGCACTTCACAATGTTGTTCCATCGCCTCTAGCCTCAGTTCGAGTTCTTTGTATGCAGCGTCTTTATTGGCTACTTCTTGGCTCTGAAAACAAATGGAGGTGAAAAGGCCTTTTCCGGCTTGTGGTAGGGTAATCAAGAGTATTCAAGATAGAATAGGTGTACTACCTCCGTCTTTGTTATCAGATCAAATCACATTCACTCAACATATACTACAAATTATTATCTTATACTCTACATACAAAGGATACTCCAAATTCTACATAAAAAACTGGTCTAGAAAAAGTTGACTTGGTAAGGTTTTTTGTTAGCTTATTCACAGGCCGCATCCATGCTTTTGGACAAAACCCCCTGCCTCTCAGAAAAGCGTTCTCTCCCATCCAATCAACATTCAGGTTCTAACCAGTACATCAAATTATGATCCAAAAGGCAGTCATAGTCCTAAGCAATATATCAGTCAATTTTGACCAACATCTGACTATCTGCATACAGTTGAAGCTGGTCAAGCCGTACCCCGGTCGTGCGCCTTTCATTATGTCGGATTGATCTTCAATTCCTATTAGATTTTTCTGTCTGATCCTACCTTAAACTTAAAAACCTTTTCAGCTTTATCGAACTTTGTAAGCTATAATAGGTGCTGGAAAAGATTCTACGAATATATTGACTAAATACTTAAATGCATAGACAAGGTCCCTGAAGAACAATAGATAATGCATGTGATTTGATTGGTCACATACCAGCTCTACGGTTCTGCCGTAGAAATGATCCAACATATATCGCGCCTCTGATAACGAGCAGCCTCGGATGATTTCATTCGAGTTGATTAGTTCACCGACATCCTGAAAAGAGATACAAAAAATATTAGAAACTCTAAATGTTTATCAATTGCACATCGTCTGGGCAAGTGAAATGGTTCTCTTTGTTTTCTATGTTTTCTTTGCAATAATGGTAAACTACATTAGCGTTTCTTTGACTCAGCCAAAACCAAAGGGCATTAACTCGGAAGTAAACATGATAGAAAGCAATAGTATTATTCAGAATAACAATTAATTTACGAAAAGAAGTAAGACGATACAATAACAGAGGAAATGTGGTCAGTAACCAGTAAAGCAACCTTTCCCATCGATAGAAAACTTAAAGCTCAAACAAAATAGCTATAAAAGATTTTATAGAGTTTCTAAGTGTATGAGCGTTATTTAGGAAGAAATTCGTTAGGAAGAAAATATAACTGTTTTATTTAAAAAACAAGAGTTTTAATAGTCACTTTACACAGAAACTTTGGTGGAGCAGTCTTTCTGAAACTTTGAAATATCTGAAAAATAGGCCTAGCAGAGAAATGCTTGACTTTGTGTGTCCATGAATTGATTTAGGGGCATTATCGAAATCCATTAATTAGTCTTGATGTAAAGAACTTGATATCCTAGACAACTATTTGTTGCTGTATCCACGCCTTTGGTTCCAAGCAACCCCACGTTTGCTAGTACAAATAAAGTCATTTGAAAAGAGGCAAACAGCATTAACTAAAATAAGCACCTACCTCCATTTCCATGATTGTGCTCTGACTCTCAGTTATATTTTCCTGGATGTATTCCATCTGTGCAGTTAACGCTTCGTGCTGCTCGTTCAATTCTTGTACCAGGCTCTCGTCCTTAAATAAATATGGCGCATAAGAACACAGTTTCAGAATACGATCATTGCAGAACTGGCACATCATTATTGTGACAATAACTATAATCTGTCCGGCAAATAATACACAGATAGCTAACAAACTCAAGTACATTTTCACACTCATCATCACCATATACTCCTCAGAGCACAAAACGTCCGACCAAAAGAAGCGTTGACAGAAAATGTGTTTAAGGATCATCGGACAAAAAGTACTTTAGTATGCTATGTTTTCCGTGCGATTGTAAAGTTTTAAAAGAGGCTTATTTGGCTGCAGGTGACTAAAAATGCAAGCAATAGAGCTATTAGCTGGGATTGCACTAAAAACGAGTCCACACACCCTGTTCATTCTTGAAGCCTCTTCCCGCTTCTTTTGACACCCTTCCAGCTGCTTGCTGACTCGGTCTCGATCTTGCAACCATCTCTCCATGTCATTTTCCATGCTGGCAACTGTTTTCATTTTCAGCATCAAATCGTTCATCTATAACAAGACGCAATCATGAATCAATATTCAATGCTTGTTTTTAGATTTATATAAGGTAATGTGCGATGAAGAGGGTAAGCAGTAGAGGGGGGGGGGGTACAATAAAGGATAGATGAAAGAAGGTGTTTTCCCAAATTCAACAAACGTCGAGAGTACAAAGGAGCTGACATATTAAAGAAACACACATGGATGAGTTCATGGTCACGTGGGCAAAACAAATCGAACACAAAACATGATATACATGATAGATTAGCCTACTCAGACTATTCATCATGCTTGCTAATTCGAAAAAAACTACCATGCATATCCTATCAGAATTTTGGGACTTGAAGGTTACAAAGTGCTCAACAATCTTAAACCGTCATTAACATACTATCAGATCATAAAGTTTTCAAGGGCCTAAAATCTGAGTTTCATTCCCAATTGATTGAAGACAGCCCGCAATACTACAGAATTAAATTATTAATTGATTAAGCTTTATTCCTTAAAAATAAATGCACAGGTTACTTTTGCATTACGTAATTTGTCTTATGCAATCCTTGAAATTGCACGTTGTTAGTCTGAATAAGTGTACGTTCACTATTGTAAAAACAACATTAAATAATTTATACAATACAATGGTCGATCGTCATTGCGATGCTTTGACCAACAATAAAACACCCAAGAAAATCATTTAAAAAGTCTTTCAGATATTTATCAAGAATGCCGTTAAAGTTTGTCAAATACATTCCTTTTTTAATCATAGCCAATTAGGATGTTGTGAACACATAAATAGGAAAAGGCAATTAGGATGTTGTAAAGTCATAAATAGGAAAAGGCCGAGAAAATAAGATTTTTCTACATTTGTGTATTAGCCAAGGAATCAAATTTATTCAAATGATCAAGAAAACCCAATAAAGAATAGGCGGAAATGGTGGACTTGTTAAATGAAAGAATCTTAGACCAAATCAATTTTCAAGTTTTCCTTAAACTGGTAACAACCTAAACCGTTTAGCAGAAGTTAACATTCTTTTGTAGATGTTTTTTGGAAGAATTGAAGAAACTCTTTTCTGTAAAATTTCTAAAAATTTGGCACAAGTCTACAATGCTTGAAGCTGTTTTTCTGGATTGATCGTAGAAAAAACACATACAAGGAACACTATCTGAGCATCAATGGAGGCCTATTCGAAGCAGAGTCAATTGAAATGACTTTAAACGGTGGGCTATGCGAGTGGGGATTATTCGAGGGTGGGGACTAATTTGAAGATTCATGACAGGGGTACTGGTGACCAAAACTATGGGTTTATAACCGACCAACTATCGATTTATAAACTTTAAAGAGCTGAGCAAACTCCCACTGCCAACCTCAGCCCCGCGCTCGTAAGATCGATCTTTATGTGGTGATCCATGTCCAAATTTCAACAAGTAGATCAGCTTCACTGTGACGGGTCACGTTCTAATATGTTTGCCATCTGCTTGGTGATATGTGATACGTGTTATGTTAAGCATGTGTTTGAGTTTGAAAATCTAACCTCAAAGTCTTTTTGATGATCGAGAAAATATGATATAGATTTTGATCGATTTAAGTGTTAGGAAACCGAGAGACAAGAAAAATAAAAATTTAACTAGTGTAAGGCCAAGTAACTTGGTTGGACTTTAAACAAGAATTAAACATGATAGCAGAGCAAGGTATGCTGAAAAGAAAGATTTCATGGAAACATATATGATCTTGGATTAGGCATCAGATTAGGGGCCTACGCTGAAAAATTGTTAACATAGTCCCTATGTTAATCAAGAATGTTCCAATTTTTAGCTCAAGTACGATTCACAAATCAAAAGTCAAACTCAAGGGATCCTTTTCCCAAAAGCTACGTCAAGAGCAGAATTCGATCTCTGATATACGTACACAAGAACTAGCCACACAGGCTACATCGAATACCTTGCTTTCTTTTAACGGAATCGTGATGTCAATTAAAAACTGACTGGTACACTCTAACTCTTAAGTAATGCGATTAATTAGTTTAAGCAAACAGGATCATGGATATTATTTTGCACGCCATCACCAATCAATATGGGACAATGATTAGCGAAGTGAATTTCTGATGAATCAAAAACAAGAAAACTTTACTTCCTTGTTATCAAGGCCGATCATCATTCTCAACACAGCGAGATAAGAATGTTTCTACAGTCACACGCAGCGAATAAAATGCTGCTTTACACTTTTTTTCATAATAACGCATTTTATAAGAACACGAAGGCTCGATATGCAAACAATCAAGAACAAATAAAGAACATGTCAAGCTGCAGATAAAAAAGTAGAAAAACTGTGCTAATTGTGTCTAAAGAAGAAGGCATTCAACCCAGTGCTAAAAATGTCATGTAAAACTGTTACTTGGTTTTCTTAGAAACAATTTATAGGAAGTAAATGTAGAAAAATCAATGTTGAAATGAGAACAAAATTAAGAAAAAAAGTATATCGATTTTTTAAAAGAATTAACTGTTTCTAATAAAAAAGGGATGTGTAGCAAATTAGGTACGACATAGCAAATCAGTACATCTAACGACACTTTACACTCAAAATTACTGAAGTGCGGATGAAGTGTTCACTTTCAACAAACATGGAGCGGACCTAACCAGGAGTAAAAGAATTAGAGGGCTAAGCAAGGGCCGGCGTCCCCAATAAAACTATTAAGATTGGATCTTGCTATTTGTTTTGGCTAGATGCTCTTTGATTCATTATGCCTAGAAAATCATCCCAACCCCCTCAGTTACACAATCTTTATTCAAGTGCTTCAAATCTAGCTTCGAAAAAATCTTCGAAACTCTTAGTTTAAATACAAAATACTCAGTCAAGAGGAAATTAAAGAGTACACAACAAACCTTTCTCTCGAGCATCTCCCATTTCTTTTTTGCGTTTCGGGAAACTGCGGGTGACTTCTGTGGTGTTGTTGGTTTCCCTGGGTTCCTTTCTTTAGTGGGGGTCTTAACAGCAGCCTGGCCCCTTTTTCTCGGTTCATCGTTGGCTGCAGAATTCTGCATTGCCACTTGAGCGCGTAGCTTTGCGTTTTCTTCTTCCAGCTTCTTCTTCATTCCAACAGTTCCCGAAACTGGTTTGATTTGCTTTCGAATCGAATTCAGCTGTTTAGAGAACCAAGCCATTTTTAGAGAAACGGTAAAACACAAAGTTTAGTTGTACATAGGGTAGGATTTCACGCAGAGTCAAAAATAGAACACAAAATGTACGATGACTTTTGTAAATATGGCGTTTCAAGACCCTAGACAGCAGTCCATGAACATAGAATACCAGAAGAAATCGCTCAAAAGTTCATCTGTTTGATACAGGCCCTGCCTCGAATTGATCGTAAAGGTATGGAAAATCTGTTTCCAGAAGTCTGTGAAGGCCCTTGACAAGACACTAATTTGCGTCAGAGCAATAACATTCCACGTGGGCATTGCACTGAATCTCCCAAAAAAGTGAAACTATGTTCATAAAAATTGGAAACTTCAATGCTGTTTATCCACAAAACCGAGCTTCCCATCTCTTTTCCTCGATTTTCCACCATCACAATGAGACGGTTTCCTTCACCTCATAAAAGCCTACTTCCAACTGTGGTTAAAAATCTCATTAGTAATAAGACCTTATTTATCAAGGATCGCTGGCCAGAGATACGCGAGAAACGGCAATCGCAAGGTCGGAGTGCATGAAAACTGTATTGATCGCTTTGTTTGCTCGATGGATAACCTTGCTTTTTGAATAGCGCAAGGGATAACCATGTTGGCAGAGTCGTTGAGAGAAAGATTTTTTGCAAAGCACACAGCTAAAGTCAAGGATTTTATGAACAAAAAGAGCATTCCACTGGAGATTAAGTGGTTGAAATTCCATGCAGGAAAAAATTACTACTGTGAACTATGTACAGTACAAGCTTGCCAGCTCCTTTAACTACTTCTCAAGACATTTCAAGCCCCGTAAAGCCTCTCCGCCTAAAACATAACCCCTCCTCAGATGGGCCCTCCACCCCAAACATCTTTCTCTAAAAACCCCTTTGAAAAGCCCCTTCTTAGAAGAAGCATCCAGCAAGAAAAATCAGCAGCATTTGAGTGACGTATAGAAATAAAATTCATCGCTGAGATACATTATATAGAACTCTAAAAACAAAAACATGAAATGAGGACATTTATCAACAGTCCAGCATATGTTTCTTAGAAAAATATATCTTTTTCAAATTTTTTTTTGCAAGCCTGCCGAATTGTTTAGGCACGCTAGAGCTAGGAGGCTGTAGGGGTATGTAGCCCTACTCCACTATTTTTGCTGAAGTATGTTATCAAAGTTGTGGCATCGAAGATAATGGTGGCAAAGTTTGCCAACCTCTCTAGAGCACCTCCCCCCCCCCCTCCAAATTGTGCTCCGACGTCCCTGCTACTGCTCCCCACAACTGGACATATCCTCATTAGAGACCCCACCAACACTAACTTCACAATAATCCACAATTGCTAATTCAAGGATTTAAGGAGGACGGTTCAAAGCATAGAGGATATTATGACCCAGCAACTCTAAAACGCCCTAGACAAAGATCTTCCAGCCAAGCAAAACTGTTTTAAGTCATCGGCCATTTTGATTGGAAGTTTTTAATTCCCTTGTTATCAGAAAAGTAAGATGGAATGCGTTTTATTTTTCTAATAAGCCATTTCATACCATATTAATGTTAATGTTATGTTTTATTTATACAAAACCCCATTTGAATGCAAATCATCAAGATTATGTCTCATATTTGTTGCCAAATATTTGGATTGCTAAAACAGCAAGCCTCAAGACAGGCAAAGAAATGTTTGCGATGATGATCCTCTCAAAACCAACTCCGGGTCTTAGAATAACTTCTAACTCACTGAATAAAAACAGTCGTATAAAATTTCAAGGAATCTTGGTGAGAATTTTGGTGAGAAGAGAATCGACCGGAGCTTTTGATGACGATAGCTCATACACCAATATCACGTTTACAGGTGCACCTTATGCTAAGGAGCAGGCCCTTACATCGGGATATAGGCACAGTTTGCATAAAACCAGATATTGATTAAAAACAGGTAGCATAGGGAAGGTACCAACAGGCGAAGAGATAATTTGAGGTATCGAGCAGTGCGTTAGAATTAATTAGGATAGTAGCACAAATACACTTCATTCAAAGCAATAATTAACCGTCAACAGTCAGGTAGGGAAGATAATCAGAGAGTGTTAAAGGGAATCAGATATTTAGAAGAATAATATAACAATGTTTGCATTGAAAAGACAGTGAAGAGGCTACAGGGAGGAAAGACAACACATAATGAAGAAATAATAATCAGCGAAATGAACTCTGATTGTGAAGGCATTAATATTGAATGCCAGTTGTTATACCTATAATCTGACTTTAAACTACATTCAGCTAATCCTCATGCTGCCTCATAAAAAAATATAGTTTAATGCCTCTATCTTGACAGCCTCTTACTGTAAAAAATTGCACATAAGTTGAGCATAGTAAATTTGTCAAAACTAATACATCGAAGGTATAACAATTATTTTCACAAAAACATCTATTTCAAGGCCTATTCCTGGCAATATGGGCAGCGTGAATTAAGAATTTCAACGTAAAAACTTCCAAGCATAAAAACATAAAAAATCAACTTGAAAACTAACCTCTTCTTGTTTTCTTTTAAGGATCAAATCTTTTTGTTTCTTATCTTGCTTTAGATTTTTTATCTGGATATCTCTTTTCCTGTTTTCTTTGATCATCTGTTCAAGCTGCGATGAAAACTTTTCTTCTCTGTGCTTTGCCTTGGAAACTTCGTCTCGCATCTGTCTCATTAACTTTACTTTTATTTTCTTCAAGTCAGATAGTTCGTTTTTCAGCATTTTTAGCTGAGCCTCATTTTGTTCCTAAAAAGGAAAAGATGCTGAATATAAACCCTACAAAGGGATTTGGAAAACCCGGAAATTTTACTTTGCTTTGCCTATTTGATTTCTTCCCCAAGTAATCACATATCCGTTTTTCTCTTTCCTACAAACGATGTTCAAAATGGTAAAAACAAAAAATCTTACGACGGCGTAATTTCCACTGGACCAGGTACAGCAAACATTTGCTAGACTGTCATCACTAACAATCCAAAGCCTTTTTAGAGATTATTTAATGACGGGGATGATAATCGAAAACAAATCAGTTTCATTAATTGGCTAAAAAGTCATGTTTCTCGAGCTCGAGAACATAGAAAGATACTGTTAGGGTTCGCTGATTGAAATAGCTTAACCTTTTCATGGTAAATGGTTAAGGACAATTTAGAAAGTTTATAGTTTGCAAACCCTTCTCTTCAACTGGCTTTAAACAACAAAAATTCTTCGCAGTATCTTTTAAAACAACACCACCGATAGAAAATAGATCTTAAACTAACGTCAGTTATATTTGAAAATGACAAAATATTTAAAGCCCGATCGAAGAGAAGGCATTTTTTATTCTTTTTTTATTCTTGATGATATAGTTTCACTCTTGTTGCATTTTCGCAAAATATTATCATTTATGTACAAGAAGAAATAAAGGAGAAGCTGTGTCAACCTTTCAAAATTTAAAGGGAACTGCAAAAACTAAAATTCGAATTTAACCTTTGCTTTCATGAGTCTTGCATGCTCCCTCTTTGCTGATTGCAACTTTGACATCTCTTTTTGCATTGAATTGAGTTTCTTCTCGTATCTTATTCGTATTTCGTTGGATTTCTCTTGAGCTTTCGAATCAACAGATCCCAAATTTCGCAATACCTGAAAGGAATCAACTGAAATGAGCCCAATGGATGAACAGAACGGCATATTGTAATTATACCTTCACTAAATGTGCGAAACGTCTTTGGTTTATGTCAAATATTGCAGTGATTCTGGAAGATACATTAAACAAGATTTGGTTAAGCAATTTGTACATCCCTTCATTACCTGTACTGAGCCAGGTTACCTTTGATCGATCAAGCCTAAACTTTCAAATATGCTTTCTAACGATTAACCCCTGACTCCAAACTAAGGCTTATTTCTGAAAGAAGGCCCCAACAACAACAAAATTTCTGCAATGAGCTAAAAGGACTCCTATCTTCTGCATAGTTGCTTTACATTCAAGGTGCTCAATTGGCAAAAATAAGCCAGAAGGCTCTAACGTGCAGTTTCCTCTAGGTCGTTTCTGATTGTACCTCCCCCATTTAGAATTTTTTTAATGAAATGAGCCCCCTCTAGCCTTCAAAATGTTTCTATGAAAGGTTATTTGATTTTCATAATTTGTTCTAAGGTTTTCGGCAACTTTGCATTACATCAAACAGTGCAGAAACATCCGTTATTTTATCCTTGGTGAGCTAAAAGGAGGTAGAGTGATTGTAAACTGATGTTGGCTAAAATCATAAATCTACTTTTCATAAAATCTATGGGGAAAATGTGATAAAATTGATATGTTACAATTTTACCAGTACTTCTTAGAACATAGCACCCCTCTCCCCGCCTCTATCAAGTATAATAGCCCCCCCCCTCCCCACCTCTATCATATATAATAGCCCTTCCAATTCAGATCCTTTTCGAAGAACTTAAAATGCAATATCATGCTTTTTTGCGTCTGTTTTATTTCATTGAACCATTTCCTATAAAGATTAAGTGCTTAATATGTTTTTGACCGAACAGGTAACGCCAAATTCGAACCATAACTACCGGAGATAGTAGATTATCAGTGTTGTCAGAATGTAAAGTAACAAGAACCATACTTTATCTCGCTCATCCTCCGTTTCTTTGATTTTATTCTGTAAAACATGAAGCTTTTCTTCGTATTGATGCTTTAGGGCTGACAACCTTTGCTGGCTGTGCTCAAGTTCTTCAATGAGTTTCTGTTTGATTGTGATTTCAGTAGAAACATCAGCGATGTCTTCTCGGAGCACTTCTTCCTCTGCAAAAGGAGAAACAGCGTGAGTTGCCTCGTTATATCCAAAGTTCTAAATAACCCTACTTTAAGATACAGTAAGAAGAACACTGTAAGAAAGAAACAATTCCTGTGAAACACACATTTGCCTTGTATAGCATCATACCCATAAGTGATCAATGATGTGAAATACTATATTTTTAGAATATGATTACATACCAAAAAGTGCCTGTTCTAGATCAACGTGGAAGGAATGCCTTTAAGCATACAACGAGACAATAACATTCCAACAGCCTTAATCTACTGCAGCGTGGAGAATTTCACCCTCTTCCCTATTTCACCTTTCCTCATTTCGGCACCATTCTTCCTTATCTCCCTCTCGCTCTTCCCTTTCAAAACCGCATTTCTAAAGCCTTCCGCCTGTTTCTTGTCTCAACCCCCCCCCCTTGCTGCATACTCTCCCCCTTCTTGCACTTAACCAATCCTCTAGGTTCGAAAGTGATGAAATCTTACTACTACCGATACTATCAAAATAATACCCACGGTAGCTCGATTCAGCCAATGAAATCGCATCATCGTCATCATCAGAATCAAACGAGCCATCATCGTTGTCTTCTTCTTCCTCTTCATCTTCATCTTCCGGGTTTTCCTCGTTTTCGTCTTGATTCTCGTTTTCGTTATTTGCTTCTTCCGTTTCGATTTCATCATCGACTCCCTTCTCATTCTGAACAAACAAAAATGGAATACTGCAAGATCTAAAGGCTAGTTGAGGCAAAGTTATCTCTATTTTGCTTTAATTTTAAATCGGCTGTTAAAACTGCCTTTGTAGTCCTTTTGCTTATGTTGAGCCTGATTTCTCCACCATGTGCACAGAAAATAACCCGAGTTAACAAACAGACACCTAACTTAGTTAAACACCATCCATGATACTATTTTCAAAGGAATGATTAAAAACAACATCAAGTATCTCTTCACATTTTTTCCACATTTTTACAGCATCATCTTATAAAACTACATTTGTCTTATATTACGTCATAGGGCTTTACCCCCCCCCCCCCTTTATTTGTGAGCATCTTACATACCTCGTTTTCATCCTTCTTCTCTTGGACCTCGCTTTCATCAGCTTCTTTAATCGGTGAAGGCGTGTGATGCTTATGGTCATGCGCATGGTGGTGCTATAAAAGAAGTAACTTTCGTTAAATAAAAAAACGTAAAAAGGAAAACACAATTTCCACTGGCATATTATTTAAGGTTAAACGCGGAAATAACAAAACAAAAGTGCTTTAACCATAGTGTCTACTACCACGTGTCCTATAACAAGAAATTAATCTGGCTTGCACAAAAAACAGCCAGTCCACAGGCAACGAGCCAGCTAGCGAGTTTTTGTCCAGTGCAGCAAGAGCCACTACCACAGATCGGTTAGCAGACTTATGGTCTCAGCACCAATTATTTGAGGCTAAACCCTACGATATCTATTTTGCTATTCACAATTTAGGCTGACATAGTTCAATGAAAAATTTCAAGCAAGGCTGCCAAGATCAATATCCTAACTGCTCACAATATTTTAACTGGTTAAAATTTCAGAATCTGAAAAAAGCTGGATTTTCAAAAAGAGAAACAGGTATTTGATAGAACCTGGTTTATTATAGCAAGAAACAGTCTTGCGTTTACGGTTTGGAGTGATGTCTTGTCCTTCAAAAAACCTTCCCTGCATATATGCACTGCAGCTTAGGTTGGCAAATTCTACACGAGTCTTTTACTGTCTTCACTTTTAGGAAGAAGGGACAATTACAATCTAGAAAAAGTATGCAAGTTCTTGGAACATGACATATTATGATACTCTTACAATACAGTGTCCACTGGTCTTACCTTTCCTTTTCTCATTTTCTTCTTCTCCTTCTGCAACTCAAGCTTGGCGAGTTCAATCAGCGATACAGCAGCATCTTCCTCTGGCCCTCCAGGTGACATAGCCATGCGACTGATCGCACGGGCCCGTTTTACCGCGGCGGAGGACATAGCCTCACTTTGTATCAGCTTATTGCTACAATAGAGAGAGACAGCGATCACCATGATAATACTGATACAAAAAATAAGCAATAATAAAATAATAGATGACGATGTGAGGTTCACAAAAGAATAATTTCTGCAGTCAAATCAGTGGACACTTCTCAAATTCTACATCTTTATCCAAGCAATACGACGGGGGCTGACAATATCAAAATGCACAAGATCTTGGGAGCAAGTACACAATAAACGACAGAATGCCCATAACAGAAAAATTGATATGTTGGGGCTACTGTCCTTGGACTTTGAAACTTGGCTTGTTAACTTGAGATTCTGAGCTTATAGAAAATTGGATGGGATCCAAGACTTCCGTACAGGGCTCGACGAACTTTGACAAAAATTGAGAATAACAATTTGAATATTTCATCTGTCATTGTTTAATTTTAGAAAATGCTTTCCTCCTAATGACATCGTAGCTCTTGTCATCATATTCTGATTCAATAAAACTACAATTACCAATCAATGCCGATACGTATCTTGATCACAGCAACTTAAAAGCCTAATCCCATTGTAAAACCCATTTCGTGCTACAGAAGGCAAATGAACAAGCCGGCTTGTCTAATATGTTATTACATTTTATCCTTCGTCATAAAATTACCTCAGTTCTTCAATTTCTTTAACATAGCCAACGATGAGAGCCTCTACGTCGTTCTCACCTTAAAAAAAGGAAGTGATATATGAGCTAGTGAGATTTGCATGAATCACACGAGGGAAGCATCAAATTCATATCCACTTAATTTCTAGTTGTAGGTCTTTAACAAAAAGGCCGATATACGTAGGTTTGACTACATATGATGTAGCTAAAAATACTATACAATGGACCAGATAGATTATTTCAATCAACGCGAGCATAAAACCCCTCATAACAGACAACCGAAAAAGGACAGTGTGGCAGCACTGATCGAAAGGAAAGGTCTTAAAGGAGAAAATAGCCTATGGACATTATATTCGTAACTGTACTGTGCCCGCTAGACTGGTGTCATTTTCGTGGGACACATTTCCAACAGTTCCTGATCTCCGCTAACTGTTAGCTTCTATCTTAAAGCCTGGTTTCCATATAGCTTTTATCATAGTTGTTATGCTTTTATACATCGGCGACGGTTAAAAGTTTTATGGAAACCAGGCTAAAAGTATATATGCAGTACTAGAATGGACAGCATAAAAAATACAAACTTAGTTCTGTCGGTTCTGTTGTCGTTTCAAGGACAAGTTTTAAATTTCACAAAACACATCAGTGGATAGCAGGGGCTAGAGGCACTGACTACAGATTCGCTATAGAGGCATGGATCATGGAGCATGGCGGGTCAATAGAAAAAAACTTCGACTATAGATAGCTTATGCTTGAAACTTTATTTTCTAAACCTTGTATTAATTCATCAGTCCTATCACATCAGTCAATATGAGCATAATCATTTAACACTTACCAATTTGCTAGGAAATTGCTAAAAAGAGATTAAACTAAATCTGCAGAAGCTATTTTCCTATCAAAAACTTCTTATTTGGTCTTGGTTCTCAAACTTATGAACTAGGCCAAAACAACAGCAACAATTAGGTCTCTCGCTTGAAATCTTTCCGAAAATTGGCAGCAGATAATGCTGATTTTGCATATTTAGAAGTATGTGATGTTATGTTGTCTAAACACAAATATACTAAAAAAATTTGATGACGTCATCTTTAAGCCACTCTTTTATTAGAAGAATTAACTGAGATGAAGCAATATGGCCGGTTACTACCGCCAACTTGTCTATTTACCATCTCCGAGTTTTCCCAGAACAGCAGAAGCCTTGAGCTCAGCAATCTGCTGGGTTTGAGAATCGATTGTCTCCTGCAAAGCTTTCATGCGAAGTCGTAGATTCTCATTTTCCGTGTTCAACATCGTATTTTCATGGAACACATCACTCATGTGGTCACCGCCATCACCATCAGCAACTCGTTTGCCCTTAGAAACAAAAAAAAATTTAAAAAAAAACTGCAAAATAACAGGGAATGGCTAGACGGAGACGCAAGCTGGATTAGTTAGGAGAGGCTTGTGTTTCAGGAAAAGGCTTTGATTGCCATGCTTCATCCATTCACAAATATGCAATTCTATCTTGTATAAATAGTCTAAATATAAAAATTTTGATATTTTAGTAAGATACCCAGCTTCCACTTTTTAGCTGTTCGTCTTACAATAACCACCACCGACAGAAATCCATCTTTTCAGGTTGAAAATTCAGAAAACGTAACAGCTTGAATGGCCCAAATAAACGTTTTTAAAAAGATTGGCACAGGCACGTTTGAACTTAAGAACCATAAGCACGGGAATTCCAAAGAATATTCAATCACATCTTTAACTGAAAAAGCCTTATAAGACCTAAGGGTCTTGAAAAATCTTGTTTAAAGTGAGAAAAAGATTACTGAGAGAAGAGACAATTGCACTTTCCAAGCTTTCGGGGCACAAAATGGCTGGTTTCCCATTAACTAAAGAGTGGCTGGGTTCTACTAGAAAAATATTGCCTGTTTTTCTAGTAGAGATCACATGGTCCATGATCGATCACCTGGTCAAAAATGATTGTTTTGATCGATCATTAACCGGACGCCGCGAATGATGAAAAGAGCCACACCTGTTTGTATTCCATAAGCTCAATTTGCAATGTCTGAATCTCAGCGCGTAAAGCTGCGATTTGCTTGCTTGCTTTGTCTTGATTTACAACCACCTGAAAGGATCAGAGAGACATTTGAAAATTGATAGAGACGGCAAAAAAGAGGCAATCCAAAATTATATGCCGAGTTCTATAAATGATTAAAAAAAGGGGTGTGGCTTTTGGTGAGGACACATTTCTTGAGCCTACAGCATAGTGAGTTGGACGGTAAGATCTTCTTCTCGCTTTCTCAAGCTCCCCCGATCTTTCCAACGGGTTCTGAGTCACGGCTGGGTAGATAAGATGTTGGTTATCGATTAAGAGCCATTAATCTTAGCATTGGCTATGATCACATCATCTTTTCAAACAGCCATCGCTCTCGACAAGCAGTGATGACGAAAAACAGTGATGCCGTCAATACAAAGCTACATTTTCTGTTAAACATAATCATAATGATGAAGGAGGAAATCAAGGCAAACAACCTTATAGGCAATGGTGATAAGGAAAACACACAAGCATTGGACGAGAGAGGGGTTAAGTTGCTGAAGCCATTGCAATGCAATTGGACGAGAGGGGGTTAAGTTGCTGAAGCCATTGTAATGCAATTGGACGAGAGGGGGGTTAAGTTGCTGAAGCCATTGCAATGCAATTGGACGAGAGGGGGGTTAAGTTGCTGAAGCCATTGCAATGAAAAAAATAGAAACGTAACGACTACTTAAGACGCTTTCAACTTGGGTGAACAAATGCAACGATGGATAATCAAATGTTTTGAGATCACGTCAGTTTCAAACATATTTTGGAAACTGGCATTTTCCAAACAGAATAAATACCTTATTTTTGATATTTCGAGCTCGGTTGGCATACTTCAGAGTATTTAATGTTTCCATGAAGTCTCTATCAGATGGACTCACACAGGCAATCATAATTGTGCGGCTGAAACAGAGAAGGAAAGTATAAAGGATTTAGGATCTGGTCAACGTAGATTCACAAAAGTACAATGGTAGGAAGGGACGAAAGACGTCAAATAGGCGCCTGACGAGAATAAAATGCTGCAGGAACTTTTTTGGGCAATTCTTTCTACGAACATGAGCTCATTTATATTATGTGTATCGAATTAACAAATTTTCTTGGATAGAAATTTAGTGATTGTTTGCATGAATAATACTTCAAGACATCCAAACTCTGTTTCTTGATTTTCTCGCAAAGAGTTTTGAGAAAAAATCCGTAAAATTCATTCGCCCCTGGGTTAAACGTCCCTTCAATTAATTTGCTTTTAAAATATTATTATCTTGCGTAGTACTAAATATTCCTGAAAATGTGACACGACTTTCACAGGTCAAAAGGCTCTTAGCCGATTTGTTTTCCTTCTATTTGTCTAAGATTTGATTTTTATTATTTGAGCTGCTAGGCATAACATGTTTCAAACCATGGAATATTGTAAACATTTCCTTAGGTTCTGGAATTTTATATTTTATGGTTCATATCTATCCTGTCAAACAAAATGCATATTCGGAAAGTTATTCCACCAACATATCTAGCATACCCTAGCCTGTCAAATGACTTTCTAATAATACAAACAAGGTTTTTTCATCTTTTGCAATTTCCTTATATATCTATATAACTTTTTCAGATACAGAAGTTTTCAATACCTGTTTCCTCCTAACGAATCTTGCAGCAGTCTCGTAAGCTTTGAGTCTCGATATGGAACGTGACAGCCTCGTTTCAACCTGTCACCAAGGGCACTGATAACGTTGCCAAGAGAAAGCTGAAAATGGAAGAGTAACAGCGATAAAAAAGGGAGCAGAGGGAGAGTCTGACTTTCAACCATCAAGTTAGCATATCTAAGACAAATAAAATTCCAATATATATAAAGTCCTTTGAAAATCGCATTTAAAAGCACTTTCCCACGAATTTCGCCCATTGACATCTCTGCGGGCGATCTTGACCACGGTCGATTTTAACTAACGGTCCGCATTTAAACGCTGGCCTAGCCTTGTTTACCAAACATGGCCCAAAGGTATCCATCGTTGCCTTCTAGCATGGATTCTGAACTAGATGGATTCAGTCATAATAAAAAGATTGAAACTTCGGGCCATGGCCTTTTCAACCAAGTCCAGTACCATAAATATACTAGCTTGCGAGCTGTACAATATAATAGAATATAACTATCAATTAAAGTGAAAATGTACTAGGAAAAATAGCAAATACATCAAGCCGATTGTCTGAATTTTCGGTTACTCGCGTACAAAGCAGAATTATGATTGTGATGGATAGAAGGCGACACCAAAAGCGCCGTTTTGGGAATAGTTTACCTTCGCTTGGGTATAAGCACAACTTTTTAGAAGCGTTGGCAAATACAGAGTTGCTAGTTGAGAAAACATATGCCGATATCATAGTAACTGGAGATCACAATGAGCACCAGGCTCCGTTTATCATAACAGCTCGTTGCAAATACAATTATAACTGCCTGATTTTTCTCAAATCAAAAATCGACAGCTTGCAAAAATGCTGCTACACCCAAAGGCAGCTAGAATCAATTTGTTTGAAGTACAGTATAGTAGGTCTGTTTAACAGAGAGGTAATACGCAGTGTTTCTAAGCTCAGCAATTAAGCTAACAGCCACTGTTGCTCTGAAGAACTGTGCATAAGTCTTTACTTATAAAGCCAAAACGAATATGTTGTTACCAAATGAAACTGTTGACAATAAAATGTTATTCACTTACCAAACCTTGATTGATGGAAATCCCTTCCTTCGCTCTATCGCCAGTCGCTCCTGTTCGTTTTAACCTCTCCGACCCTGCCAGATCAACGAAGTTGAATTTGGCTGACAAGGTCTCGAATTCTTCAGTTTGGCCATTCTCATCACCCTCTCCATCTGCCGCCTCAACCTAAAGAAATAAAACAAATCAAACCCCCAATCTAATGTGAGTCAAAGAAGGACGTTTTTTCTAATTCAAATTGTTTGAAGATAGTGACAGATGAGAAGCTCATAGAGGTTCCAATAAAGAAACCAAGTTTGCACATTTCAGAACAAGTGGGCTGTTCTTTCTTAAAAATAAGGATGTTCAACGATGAAAAATAAGGATAATTTCCAAGTTGAATTATGGGGGTTTAAAGGCAAAAACATAATAAAATAGGTAATATCAAAAAAATGTACGAAATTGATAAAAACATAAGGTGGATGCAGTAAAGGACCAAATGACAGAGAGGTAGCAATTATGGAAGGAAACAATAGGTACAAGGCAGGGGTGTGACGACTCCGTTCAAACCCTCGCTTGGATGTAGAATGCGTGAATGAATGAATACATTTACGGCTTAGGAAGTAGAACCAGTGGTTTGAAGCAGATCGTTAACCCCCTCCTTTTGTCCATCCCACATGACATGCAAATCCTGGGGCAGTTTCCACTGACAACATCTTTAAATTGTTTAATGGACAACGGGTGTAACATATTCTTGTGAAAATAAAAGAAGAGCTGCATGCATAGAGCCTGGGACCATAAAAACGATAATTTCTTTGAAAACCCGTTGCCATCTTCAAGTATTTGACTTTGTAGAGGTTCTTTAAATACACTTAATGTCAACAAGCAACACATCGCGACACTGCTACGTACCTGTGCCATTCTGTGATGCTTCAAATGGACTGTAAATATTGCATGGGAACGAGACGACGTTGCGTTCATGTTGGTGCTTGCCGTGGTCCGTGAAAGAGCCCCTTCTTCTAACACTTTCATTATCTATAAGCAAAGAAGGAAAACGAATGTTAACAGGCATGTTGCAAAATCGATGCTGTAAACACTGCGCTGGACACGAGGAAACGTATTCAAGAAAGATTATGCGACAACAATCATCAGTGACAACAAAAAGAAGTGCCATTCTGATATACCTTTTCAAATGAACAGTTCATTTTGGAAATTATGAGTCGATTTTCTAATGCAATATCTTTTAACCTAGATATAAATTCAGCAACGAAGAATTTACCCTCTTTAGGATTACGTTTTATTGTATGGTAAATATATGAGAGTACAAATCATGTTATCTTTTAAAGTCTTTTAATCGAGCATCGATTGCTGTGAACCTACCAAGATATAAGAAGTACTGAGGCTTTTTGCAACGTATAAAACGGTTAATATTGATTATAGCATAAAGAATATATTGGCCAGAACGCAATGAAAAATAATCTATTGCGGAAAGAAACCCTAGGAGTCTAGGGGTGAATAGGCAGAAAGGGTCTGCTTAAAACATGTTTCGGAACAACGGATCTATCAAATAACAAATAAAGGACTTCTCTTACATCTTTTTCAGACGTGACATTTCGCATCACAACCCCAGTTGTGTAAATATTGCTGTTTACATCCTCGTGAATTTTCACCACTTTTCTTCCTTTGTTTTCGATATCAAGCAGATCAACTATTTCCTCATTATACAACTGAAATAAAAATTAAAGACAATATGATATATAATGAAAATTTTTCTAGGATATCTTCATTATGTTTTCATTATTACAACATTTACAATCGTACGAGGATGAGAGTATTCAATAAATGGAGCAGTTAGGTTTTTTCTGCTTCAAAAGCATTCAATGCAATCAAGTTTATATATATAGATTTCTTACGACCTTAACTTTTTGAAACCAGGCCCAAACCCCTCGTTATAATAATAATAATTTCAAATCAATGTTCTGGAAATTCATGCATCCAGTGAATAATAATTGGTTACATGACCAATGAACGAGTGAGACATTTTATTAAAGAAAGGAGCATTCTATGCCATGCTACAATCGACCGATTTTCTGCGGTTCTAATAGCAGTCTACCAAGCATAAACGGCGATAATGGAAGACGATTTGGCATATTTCTGGCCTAGACATGCACCATATAAACATTCAAACCAACACGATAAATTCCTTTGGAAATCTGTCTAGACAACAGTTTCTTATCAGTTGAAATTGTATAATAGCGAAAGATATGATGCATGAAATCTTTGTGCAAACTACACACAGGATTCGCCCTTTTTTAGATTAAAGACATTAAACATTAAAGAAGATTCAACGTTTCCTTGGAATATCTCCCGTTAACTCGTTTGTGTGCTCTATCATAACAACAAAGATTTGGTGACCATCAACTACCATAAATCCATAAGAAGAAGTTTAAATTCTTCAAGGGCCTTTACATTATGTTTTCAATCTGGTCGAAAATTCAAAGCAAATGTTCAATTGGTGCCTGTTCAATTGCCATTATAATCTCGCGTCTGTTTGCATATAGTCCTGATGTTTTAGGGGCAGCATACTCTGGCACAGCATACCAGATGTGATAAAGAGCAGCGAAACGATAGCTTTCTTTTGCAAAAAAGAGCATGAACTGATGATGGATGCAATTGCCAATTATGCCGTCTATTATGAAAATTATGTTTTGGTGTATTCAGGTTGAATAGTTGGTTTTTATTAGCTCACTTTTCTAAAGAGTACGAGCTATCATTAGTTCATACCAACTGTAAATAAGAAGTTTATTATTATTATCATTACATGAGGGGGAGAATTTAAATTCGGGTCGGTCTTAGTTCTCTTTAGGGGATCGGGGAGAACAGAGGCTATTTTTGGAAAAAGCAGAAACAGCAAAAATTTGATCCCATAGTAGAACACGCAACTTTTAACGAAAATTTCACTTAGAAAATTGATAAAATTCTCTGTTGTTGTGAATTTGGTGCTAATTTTTCGTCAACACTTGTTTGCATGAAAAGACGCATGCGCATTTATCTTTTATCCCTCGACTCATACCTGTTTGACGTCACCAAGTGCAGGCAACACATATAAGTAGACCTCGTAAAATTTCAGACCGGTTTGAAATTTCAAGTCGGAATGTGTCTCAGTTTGGGTCTTATGTAAATGACCTGATCGATCTGTAAACAGATTGTCTAGTCCCTGTCCTTCTTGTCTGGTAGAAGCTAGAAATTTAAAAACAATCTGCCCAGAATGATTAAAGATGATTTACCTCTATGAACTGACACTGAACTTTGAATTCTGGGGGAGCAACGTTTTTCTCAACTGCCTCTTTTTTCAACCGCTGAATGCCATCAAAAAGGTGTTTCATCGCACGTGGAATGATGCCAACTTGCTCCGGGCCTAGACTGTTATTCATATCAAATGATGTTCCCATAGTATACGTTTTTCCAGAACCAGTCTAACAAAAGTAATATAGTATAGAAAATATCTTTAGTCTTTTAACTCAACTTGAAAAATGCATTTCTAGGCAAATTTTCTTTAGTTTCTCGTTATTTGAAATTGTGTTAGAAAAAAACAGAAGAAGCACCCATACAAACAGCTTAGTGATTTCACTGGTGACATAAAACAGGAATATGTTACGCGGAATATATACACGAGAAATGTGTAGACTTGATTGGCCAGTTTTCCTCCTACCACATTATTTAGTCCGTATCTACGGGTTTTTCTCTGTATCATCACCAGGATAACACAGCCTCGCCTCCCAAAAATTATACAAATCTTCACATTATCCTAAAAACGTTGGCATAAACGAACTCTTTAAGACATGTTGTTGTATGAAAACGCAGCATTAGTATTTAAAGAATGTGATATTTTTCTATCAAATGATTGAAGATACAAAAGTTAGAAATAAAGATAATTGTAATATTTTTAGCTACAAATATGCCACTGGTGATTTCTCAGGATTAAACAACCCCAGATGCAGAACTCTCATTAAGTTAACTTTTCCTTGATTAAAATTTCATGCTTAGCTTTTGGACAAACAAATTTGAGAGTATTCATCATATCTGAATGAATAATTTAACAAAGAAAAAAGATTTAGGTGTTGGGTCAAATATAATTTGCTAATTTTACCTGTCCATATGCCAATATTGTTGCGTTGTATCCATCAAAACAGCTGAAAAATGAACCACTTTGAATTTAAAACTGGTAGATATGTATTAGCATATTAGTATTAAGATATCAGATTAAATATTAATATCTGAGCCTAAAAAATCCTGGACTGGTAAGATCAGTGAATACTTATTCCAAACATTACGCAGGGATATTATTAGCAGCTTTTTGAGCTTGCTATATATTCTACTTTTTCATTTAACACAAAATTCTGATTAAAATAAGTAATTTTGAAAATAATACCACTGGCAAAATGTGAAATCTACCATATTATAACACAATGGACGAAATCAAAACAGAACAAACTTTTCTAAACACTGATACAACGAATATACTATTTTTTGGAAAGGAAAGCATCAATTTTCTATTGTGCATTTTCAAAAAAAGTCAAGCCATAAATTATGTATTACAAAATATAAAAGAAATAATACTATAACTTTTAAATTTGTTAATGTTTTACTGAAAAGCAGCTATAAATCTATATTTTATCTGCTTGTAACCATCTTAATCTAGATCGATACAGCCAACATAAAAGCAAGCCTCTGGTTACATCCAATGTTGGCTTTCTGTGACCTACTCCATGTGTGAGCAATGGATGTTGCTAGCATGAAAAGTGTTATTTTTAGTTCTGTATGCCAATAACATAGATTATCTTATCGCCAACTAACTTCAAAAGGGATCAAAAAAATGCCTAGGGCTAGTATTATAGACAGGTCAAATGATGGGAAAAGTTAGCTACGGGTATAACACATTAACAAAGATTTGAAAGACCTATATTTTACAAGGATTGATGAAAATTTGATCCATACAATCTACATATATACATGTGTAATAATTTATCTTTATAATAAACATAGCCTGAGCCTGTGCACCCTCCTGTAAATTCATCATTCTAATTAATAGGAGGTTACATACCTCTTTATAAGTCATCAAATATTTGCTATGATAATCAGTAAGTAACATCATTCATAACAGTGAACATAAACACAAATGAACAATTTCATAAAAGATAAAATAAGCATACCCGTCAATGAGTTCCCTTGATACATTTTTAAAAATCTCTTCTTGGTGTGAAGTTGTATCAAAAACATAGTCGTATGTGAATGCCTTATCTTTGCCAAGAACAATCTGTGGACTGTCGTCCATCACAGATGTACATACTCGACACATGTCAATTTTTTCAGCAGCACTTTGTGGCCTCACCCTGCACAAGGGATACACGAATAATGTAAATGCATGTTATAGAGAGAACCTATTAATTCACACAATGGCACACAAAAGTGGAAACATTGCATTAGGATTACATCTCATCCAGTACAAAACACCAGTAAGATGACAAAAATGTTAGCAGCATGAATACAATATAATAAATATGACATAATAAATATGATATAAAATTTTGCAGAGGGTCGATGGTGGTTGATTTGATGGAAGTAATGGTTCAAAACAATGCATTAAAATTGTCGAAAAGAGGTACTTTTTCAAAACAAGGGGATTTGTGTCGCTTATCCCTTTACATAAACTTGATAATAATATACCTCAAAACATCTGGCAAAGAAGCAAATATGACCAAATGTTATTGATACAAAGGGATTTCTGTCTAAAAGTACATATCTCTCTAAAACTCCTGTCTGTACTTTTATAACCTGTACTTGAGATTCAACTTTACAACTTTTACCATGAGAAGTAAAAGGGAATTTCAGACATTGAAGTTCTCTCTTGTGTACCAACTCACCCCCCCCCCCTCTCCCAAAGAGATTTACCTTTACTTTATTAAGTATTATAATGTTTTTGAGCCCTTTTCAAGTATCATATCCTTATCTTGCTACTGAAAGATTATTCAACAATCTTAACTTGTTGCTGCATTCATGATCAATTTGCCTAATTGCTATTAGACCCTGGAGAACATTTCTACACAGCTGCCTTACTGACTATAGCTTATCACCTTGAATGAAACTCATATGATGACAAATACTTCAAAATTTCAAATATATACTCAAAACTATTATGTTCCTCTTCAAACAGGTTTTTGCTCCAAACAAAGAGATAAAAGCTCTTAACCCCTCTGAATTCCTACCTGTTCTTGGTAAGATCTTGATCATCAGGAAATTCAACACCTTTGTTTTGTAGCCATTTCCAAATACCTCAATTTTTTAGATAAACCTATATACCTTGATTTAGATAATTCCTCAATTTTGAAGCCCAATATTTTAGACAAACCTAGCCCTCCAAGGCTCAAAACTTTCAAATTCACTTTGAGATATGGAACATTTTCCAAGTAAATATGACAAACAACATTGCAAAAATGGTCAGTTAAAACAAGTTTATTTTATGTTGTACATGACAATCATCATGGCTTATGTCATGTGAAAATGGTCTGTCAGGTTATGGGCTTGTTCAAGTTTATTCAAAGGAGGAGGTTTATAAAAATCACCACTTCCAGCGTATGTGTTTTTTCAATTTTTTTTAAACAAGGAGGAACCAATTGATGGATTTAGAGTACATTAATGAGACTTTTAATGCATTAAAAGACGATAAAAAATTGTTTTATAAAACATTTTTGACATGGCCCATCAAAAACTAACCACTTTTAGTCTTTTAGACTCAGTTCTCATACAAAATCTTGTAATGTTTTCTTATCATATTACAAATTGAATAATTCTCTGTATTCTTATTTTCACAAAGGTAACAAGCCTACAAACAGTTGCTAGGTAGATATTAAAAAGATCTTTTGAAATATATCTCATATGCTGCATTAAAGAATCTTTTGTGTTTCAAAAGAAAGGGCACAAACACGTTCATTGGAGCATGATGTTGTAACTGTGGGAACAATTTTTCTATAAAGGTTAAATTGGACTTGGTTAGGAAACCATGACCATGAAATGAAACAACAGGCAAATTGATTTATCTGAGTTTCTCCACAAAAGATTGTTGAAAAGATAAGGCAAAAATCGAAAAAATCAAGTGACCATGATTTTTAAATTAAGGCGATAATCACCACACCTACTAGGTAAGGTACATTCAAAAATCAAAATATGACCACGCTGCTACGCAAAATGTGACGGCGAGGTCAATAAATTCGCTTAAATTATCTTTAAAACAGAATTATTTTCCGAACAATAAAAGTTATTAATATTCAATTTTGCTGTCTGTCTTCAACCTGGCTTACACCGTTGATGATGGGAGCATTTAAAACAAAAACAATTAGATATCGCAAATAAAAAAAATTACATACCTCAGCGCCACTCGTACTGAGGAATCGTCCTTCTCTGTTATAAGAGTCATTTTTGCCAATTTTTGTCAAAGGTATCAGAAATACATCCACAGCGCGATATTTACACTCGAAATCCCCGTCGCCCGGAGCTCCCAACAACCTGTCTTCCAAAATTCAGTTTTTGAAGATAACACCCCTGCGTCGCCAAGAAATTACTCTATTTTTCCACATATCTGAATCTTTTTACTACTTGTACTTTTCTGCAAATTTCAGCTAGGATCTGGGCTAATTATTTTCAGCGAAAAAGCAAGTGCTCTCAACCTTTTCCTGCCAGCCGGTTTGAATGGCCTAGCCCACTTGAGGAATCCACTTGATGCGCTAAATCTTTCTGAACGAAAAAACAGCTACAGATATGATTCTTCATCTGTTGTTTACATCTGTCTCCCTGTCTCAAGTATCTTGAATCCTTCAAGGGGTCAAAATTAGGCTCTAGCTTTACTGCAGTCTCAAGCAACGCAAGACCCGCTCATTTATTTTGCAAAAATGCAAATTTGTAATTCCTTAAAAGTCGAAAACGAGGCTGTGTTTAACGATCCAAGGGTGATTGGAAACTGACGTTCGAATAATTTTCTTCGAACTAAAATCATCCCAGGGACGCCAAAGAAGGGGGCGCGTGGGTTCAACCGTCTCTGTTGCCTTTTGATAGGAGGGGCAAGAGTGCCCTTCTCATTAATGTGCCCTTGGAGCCGGCCAATTGTATTCATGACGACATTTCTCAAAACTTGTAAAATAAATCCTTATTTCAAAAGTTAGGAGCCAATTTTCTACTTCCAAAGATATCTACAGAAGATTGAAATAAAATGGCAGTTAGTAGAAGGAATAAGTAAAAGCTGGGAGTTATCTTTGGAATGCCCTTTTACTCAAGTCTGCCCCCCTTGCCCCTTGGTCTTTCCGGCATCCCTGATTATGCCGAATTTTTTAAAGAACGCCGCGGCGTTTATTACAAAATCCAAATTTTGGATGCGGCGTTCAATAGAGGGCGACGTTTATCAGAGGGCTTTGTTTAATACACAACGAAAAGTTTGAAAAATGAAAAATGACAAGAAAAGTGCGATGAAAAAGATAAAAACAGACTTTAAACAACGTTTTCTTTTCCAAAAAACACATGATAAAGATTGTGTGAAAATTTTTTGAAGTTCATGTTATGGAAATGTCAAGGAATGCCAACATCCCTCTCTTTGCGAGAGCCTTCGTCTCAATTACAAAACAACTTTAATAGCTTTCGAATAGTAAGTGTATAAGCGATTCATTACTTTCGGCGTTCAGTAGAGAGCGGCATTCATTAGAGGAAACGCGGTAGTTGTTTTTTATCAATTATATGGAACTAGTATTTCTAGGATAGCATATGAAAAAATTGAGTAAAATGCCTCCTAAACATATAGTCATAATTCATTCATTCTGCAATTTTTGATGCAAATTTGGATTATCAGAGAGCTGATAAAAGCCTACAAAATTGTTAGCCCCGTCTCTACCATGAGTCCGCACTCTTGAAGTTAAGTTTTTCGAGCTTACAGTGAAAATTTCAGCAAGAATTCTTTGGGACTAAAAGATTCATGTAAAACTTTAGGTTGTGGCAAAAATTGCGTTTGTATTCCAATGTTATTTTTTCTGTTGCTACGACTGGGAATTTATTGAAATTCATATAACGGTTGGACAAATTTGTAATGCAACCCTCTCATTGTAACATCAATTTGAGAGTTTTCAAATAAGATTTTTTACCTTTTACCTATTTGGTCTTGCAAAAGAGCATGATTGCAAATGATGCATCTATCGTAGCAATGTAACAATGTCAAAAGTTTTGCATTCTTGATGAAAAAATTAAACGATTCAAAGTTTAGGTTAATCAAGGAATACATCATGCAAGGATGCCGGGGATAAACTACGATTGGCTTTACAGACGAAAGTACCTTTCCTTTAAAACTTTGCATTTTTGATTCGGTAGTTTTGAGTATTGTTTCTGAACTTCAAAAATAAAGGGACACGAAAGCCCAAAACCTAATGAACACTATAGCTGCCTAAGCAATGCCTTCCTTTAGCAGCATAGCATATTTATTAAGCGCCTTCGAGCTCAAAATACACTCCCCTCATGAAAGTACACTGTACTTATAGCAGGCCAGTGACAACTTGAGCACAAGTATTTGAACTTAATATCTAAGTTCACGACGATGTGCTCGAGCTCTAACCTTTCTTAAAAAAGAGTTAATGTTATATATAAGATTATCTGTTTTTAAATCTTTTCTACATGTGAAAGAGATAAGCGGGTTTCTTCTTTATTTTCGACTTAGTGGAAGGACAATTTTTCAAAGGTATAGATTTTATCGAAACTTATCGAAACATTTTTAGGTCGGGATGAAGTGTGAATATAAGAAATGATGTTTTTTAAACTTGTGTGATTTTATTGGTTGTAATTTCTATTTCCTATTTTCATTTCCTATATCCAAGTTTTTCCTATTTATATTCAAGTATTTAGAGTCCCAATATCAGTTATTTTCTATTTTTGGAGACGATTGGGGTTTTTACCCTAGCCACGTTTTCTAGCAACAAGAACCCTTCAGCTCGTGATTGATTCAAGACTTAGGAGTTGTTCAAAACAAGATGACAAACAGAAAACACACAAGTTTGTAAGGCAAAATGAATATATAAATAACTAGTACAATCCAAAACGGAAATTCTTTTCGCCTTAATGACAATATCATTCTAAGAAGTGTTTCTCTGTTTACTTGATATAAAAAATCTAGTTAAAGACTTTAACGAAACTGACAATTCTGAGTCTGTAACCAAGGTAGGTTCTATACCAACAAAAACCTGAACTCCAAGAAGCTTGCTTTTGTTTTGACACCAGCAGACACGAAGGAGTTCCAAGATGTATCTTTCATCTTTTCAGATTCTAGCTTTCATCGATCTTTCGTCTATGAAATTAAAAAAACAATTTAATTCATTATTCAGTTCAACAGAATAAAAACATCTTTCACAACACTTTTCATATTTGATGCATTATGTATGGTTATTCATTGAGATGAAGAGAAAACAGTAAATAAATAACCAATTAACTAACTAACTAACTAACTAACTAACTAACTAACTAACTAACTAACTAACTAACTAACTAACTAACTAACTAACTAACTAACTAACTAACTAACTAACTAACTAACTAACTAACTAACTAAAGGAAAGTAGCTCTCTAAATAATTGAGAAACAACAAGCTTGCGAAGTTAATTATTTGGTTTATCCTAGTACTAACTTCCTAAATTAGAGGCATTAACCCACTAGCCGTATCAGAAACAAGGATTACAATAGCTAGATTCCCATTCCCGAGGTTCAAACATCATAAGGATTCTATGAAATGCTCCTGACATTAGGCCTAGGAATAATCACTTTGATTATATTTAGGATGCTAGATTAGAACCCCTCCATTGCCTCTGCGAGATATTAGCCCGCCCAAAAGAGAGTTACTTATTACATCCCTGATAACCCACGACTGCCCCAGCAGGCAAACAATGTCCTTGAGTCAAACGTCTCCAGGTTTATTCGGTTCATAACTTAAACCGAACAGGCCTTGAATTCAGAGTATTAATTCCAAAAGCCACCATGCCTAATAAACAGCATAAAAATGGGCGTCACTGTGGAACCGCAACTGAATAGGACATGTCGTTTCAAATTAAAGCAGGTGGCAAGAGGCGTTATTAATAAGCAGGACTGAATCACGCTAATTAAACTAATAAAAAGCGACGTCAGCTGCAGTCTAAAAATTTTTCTTCAATTCGAAGAAGTTTTCTCAGTTCTGAAACAAGTGCATATCTATAAGCCCGCTGCTCGTCTCTAGGGACAATGCAAATCCCTCTGGGTGATTCGTCTTTCATGGATGCAGGTTATAAGGGAGAAGAAGAAAATAGTGCTTTTGACATTCCACACGACCCTTTACATGCCCATAGCCAATTCTGGTGATAGCTCAGCAAGGCAATCGTTTATATGAAGGAGTCTAACCTGCCTCCTGCCTCAGCACAGAAACGAGACTGCCGGTTTAAGAGAGATGTATAATTTGCCCCGGTGTCGTGTGTACATTACAAATTCAGACATAGCAGAGAACCTCTTGAGAACTTCTAAAATGTAACTTACTCTAGCAAATCGCCATTCGATGCAAAGAATGAAAGTTGAAAGTGTTACTTGGCCTAATAAATGACCCGAAAACAAGACATTAGGTTTTTAAGCCTCTAATTATTGGATGGCTTCCCATCTGAACCCGTTTTCAACTTCATTACTGGGAACATATCGTTATAGCATAACTCGCCTCTTAGCTCGATTATCATGTTTATCCCGATGCCTCTCTTCCTCGCTATCGGAATCTGACTCGCTTTCTGTTCCCGAGCTTTCATCAGAAGATGACGACGAGGAGGAGCTACTTGAGCACGATGAACTTGAATCAGATGCGACCCCCGTGTCTTCCTTTATGTCAACCGAATCGGCAACCTTGGCAATTTCTGGTCGATGTTTCTGGAAGAATATATTTAAGATTAGTATGAAAATTGGCATAAATTTGCATAGATTTGCAAAGATTGGCATAGATTTGCAAAGAATGGCATAGATTTACATATATTGGCAAGAAAAGGTCTATTTATACAAAAAACTTATTATCTTATAAACTTATTATTGACCACAGCAATTTTCACAAAATTAAAACTACTTGAAAAAACTGAAATTAATTCGAGTATTCCAAATGAATGTCCATTTTTACGATGGATTAACTTAATCACCAAGTAGAATTTCAAAAGTCTTAAATCAGGATTTACAAGTGAAACATTCAAATGACGAAATGAGAATAAACTCAATTTGCCTGCATTCTTTTAATCAAACAATTTAAAAGGTTGAAAGATATATTTTGGATTGTTGGGTTGATCATGAGTGCGTATATGGAATTGGAATTGAATGAGATTTGAGAATGGATTATGGATAACATTCAGAAATCGATTATTTGGAATCCTAACAAGTTGTGTATCTTGTGCTGAATGTATCGTACGGGAATATTGCTCGGTTCATTTATTCCAGTAGAAATTGTTACTTTGAATGATCATTTGGCAAGGTTTCCTTTCATTCTTAAACATTTATGTTACACAGGTAGGGGAAAGATTTTGCAAGACTTAATCAATTAAAACAAATTAATGACAATGAAAGAATCGAAGGGAAATTCATCCTTGCAAAATGTACAATATTTCGATAAAGAAATGACGAGAGTTCTTTCCGATGAAGTTTTTCAACAAAAATACATGAGTTTCCATGATACGGTTTGCCCCTCAAAAAGATCACCTCAGATGTCTGTTTTGTAATTATGAAATCTCGGTTAATGACTCACTCTAGATTCCTAATGTTTCTATCATAATTATTGCTTCAAGCTTTAAATGTTATCAAATCCAATTATTTTTCATTTCTTCTGTCGTCAAATCACCGTACAGGACATATCAAACTTCTGTATAAGGATGAGAAAACACGTAATCTTTCTGCCGATTAATAGATTAGCAAATACTTTTCTCATTTACAAGGACTGATGATCGAAGCAAGGAAGTTTATTGACAATATTTGATATTTTGATATCGTTTTTTATCTTTTTAGTTGAAAAGTTAATTGGTCGATACCTACCGATACCTACCGATATATACCGATACCTTCCGATACCTTCCGATACTTACCGATACCTACCAATACCTACCGATAATTGGCCAATATAAACCGATATATACCGATGATTGGTCGATATCTACCGGTTTAGACAAAAAGGGTGCTGAAATCATTTTGATACCTTGCATTATTTGCCTTAAGTATTTTAAAAAAATCAGACTCACCTTAAGAACTTTGTACCACTTTTTTGACAGCTTTGGTCTTCCCCTGAAATAGCGAAGATAAACGGTTTTTTGAAACAGCTTATCGCTGGAAAAACAATTATTTCCAAAAGATAGAATCTATCTTCTGACGAGGTACTAAAATGCTCGTACCAAGAGGATATAGTTCCCCAGCCCTTCCCTAGGGTCGTCCCTGGATTTCATACCAAAACCAACAGGAATTAGGGATGAATATAAAAACTAGAATGGGCTCTTACCGAACCGTCTTGTGCCAAACAATAGGAAAGCTAGCCACTGAGCAAAAATTTTGCGTCACTGCGCAGGTGTCATCCATATTCATTACCACGTGCCACCATCCACCAGGGACAAACACTGTTTCACCGGGTTTCTGTAATATTTCTAACTAAAATTGCAAACGAAAGATTTAATAAACGACCGATCTAAAAAATAAGGCAGAAAAAAGCGAAAGCATAGCGCAAAATAATGAAGCACTTTCGTCCAGAACCTTTCAGAACATAAGATATCAGACAACAGCAAAAGTTGTAGGGAAATTTGTTTGTACATAAGGACTTGAAAGAAAGAAAGGCGTTTAAGAATCCGCGTTAAGAAAGGAAGACTTCTTTCTTACAAACCAGAGATACTTTGGACAGACTATTCTATCCTGAAATCAAGTTTGACCATCTTTCCCCAAATATTCGGTATTGAAAACTCGGAATGTATCCCAAGCATTCCGCATTGCATTTCCGTACTCACCGGTTTACAATCAGCAGGCCACGTGGGTAACTGAGTTTTAGGGTAGATTGTTTGAAACCAAATGACAGCTTCATCAGACTGGTCTCCCCCTTCGTTTCTTTTAACTTTAACTAACTCCTTTGGTGTATGTGAAGGAAGCAAGGCCCATCGTTTGTGACCAGATACAAGAGCATTCCAAGCACTTGTTCCAAGTGGGTCTATATGGATTCCGGTTCCTGATCGAGCTGGACCCATTACGAACCATCTAATGGAAAATTGCATCAACCGAGCTACATGCATAATTAACAAAATAAAGTGCAACATTAACTTAAGTTAACCAGAATACTGGAACGTTCACAATTTCAATGAAGATTGAAGGCTTACATCAACTGTCTATTATGCACTATTTAGCTTCTTCAACCGATAAGGAAAAACAGGGGCTGAATAAACACAGGAAACTTTTGTGTTAAATGTTGCGTTCCACACAAGACTGATGTCTAAAAATTGTGTTGATGTGATTTACCTTGGCCAAGAAGAAAAAGTATATTTATTCAACACTTATGTCATACTTTCTAAAAAGAGAAAACAAGCAGAATAAATTACCTATAAGGAGGGCGCCTCTTTTCTCCAGCATATCGAAACAAATCGTCTACAAAGAATCTTGGAACTTCGTAGTCTTCTAGAATCTTCTTTTTCTTTGGATGCTGCACAGGAAGAGGATTACAATTAGGTGATGACAATAAATGAAAGGATTACTATACAATGTGATACAATACAATAAGATACAATACTGTACTGTATTGTACCGTACCGTACCGTAATGTACCATACCATACCGTACCGTACGGTACTGCACTGTACTATATAGTGCAGTACGTATCTCATTTTATTGTATCACGTTGTATATTATCGTAGTCAAACTTTCAGATACTTGAAATGATAGATTAACTTTTTTGAAATCTCACATTATCTATTCTTCCCAACTTTTCGCTATTGCACATACTTATTTCAAAATATTGAGTATACTTGGCTCTAAAATAACTTTGGCTTCTGAGGATCTACCTGCATCCCACTGGGATGATCCAAATAGCCCCAGAACCTCTAACTCCATCATGGAAGTGTCTAAGGATCTCCATTTTAATTCCATAGGTGCCAACTAACTTTCTACAATCCCAGATGAAAATAATTGAGACTTTTCAAGGAAAGTTTATATTTTCTTTTTCCTTCAAACTTTCCCCCTCCCCCAATTCAATGTTGAATGCATGATTTTAAAAGAGAAATTATAGAACTACAAATCCAATATTGATTCGGGGGGAGGGGGATTTGAATTTACAGGAACAGCGTAAAGTAGAAAATTGCTAAAATGACATTTTGTCTCAACAATTATGTCTGGGATCAATCCCAGGCAAAAATAGTTGAGATTTTTCAAGGAAAGCTGATATTTTCTCTTCCTTTGAAAAATAACTTTCACTCCTCTGCCAACTCAATGTTGAATGCATGATTTTGAAGGAGAAATGATAGAACTACAAATCCAACATTGATTCGGGGAAAGGGGGGGATTTGAATTTACAGAGGCGACACAATGATAGAAAATTTCAAAATTGCATTTTGTCTCAACAATTTTATCTGGGATTGTGGTCTCTAAGGTGGAAGAAATTTTGCTTCATTTTTCAAAGATTCATTAAAATCCCTTAGTTTGACTCCTGAAATAATTTCAAGATAGCAACATACCTCTCCAAAAGATCCATCAAATATATAGAGAGGACTATCATCTCTTTGCATCCGAACGTAATCCAAATAATATTTCATTTTCATTTTCACTGAGTAGCCATCATTGTCCTCCCCTACCTTGAACTTTTGGTTTCTATATTTCTTTACAAGTCTCTAAAAAATAAAACATATAAGCTTGATTCATGGTTTCTTCAGAACTAGGTTTATAAGGACTCTGAATAAATTTACTTTTATGCACATACGTAAAAAGATTTGAATCAAGAATTTAGAATAAACTTCAACCTTTGTTGGCTTACATATTATTTTTGAATATAAACAAAACTATAAATTTCATCAGAACTGTGAGATGTTTAAGTGTAAACAGAATCTTTTATATTTCACCATGTTATTCAGATTTGAAAACAAGTTGCCCCTTGCCTAAAACAAGTTTGGAGGCTAAGTGTAAAAAGGACTGTTTTATTCTTTTCTGCTCATGCTTAGGAAGAATCCCTATTCCTTATTTGATTAATTCTTAGATTAATTTGATTAATTCAACATCCCCATATTAGGTTAAGCAGTTAATCGACTTGGCCTTGACCCTCCCCATATTTATTTTAAAACTGTCATCCACTCTGGACCACAAAGTTGCTGGAAGAAAACAGGTTATTAGGCCCTTCTGTGAACTTTCAGTGGTTTACATCTATGTTTTCAACATATTAATCTACAATTTTGCATTGGCACGGATCTAGACTCTTATACAGAAGGCAAAGGTGACAGTCAGAAATTGAAAAAATTGAAATATGTTCATGTGAATTTCTGTAACTGAGTCAATTTTAAACAAATTGTGAATTTTCTTTATTATTGCAAACAACCAGCGTGACAGCAGCTTGAAGGAAAGCTTTGTCGCCAACTTTTTTCTACTGGCAACCCTAGGTATGCCTAAACAAGTACAAGAATTGAGTTGCTTAAAAAGAAAATTCTCATTTGTCATCTCCTCTGTTTATCTGGTTGCATAAATCATAAAAAACAAGGTGTGCCAGTCGCATAAGATTAATGGGTTGCACTGACATCATTTCATCATTGTTTTGAGACCCAACCAGTTTAGCCATTGTTTGAAAACCTTGGCCGAGAAGTAAAGGTTTTAAGCTACTCCTCTTGAGGTAGTTTCCTAGAGAGAAAGGATATTTGGAAACCTAAATATGGACAGAATCATGGCATCCAATACTTTTAGAGACACAAGTATTGAATTTTGATATTCTGAGGGTATAACAATTGTTTTGATGTTATTACAAAAAAAAATTAATCAAATGCATTACAGAACTTCATTTTAAATAAAAAATTCTTTGGATGACAAACAATATTTCGAACAAGTTTTGAGCATAGAAATTGGAATTTTTTCCAAAAAAATTAGAGGTGTGGTCCCCAAAAAGCTTCTGAACATGGTCTTGTACAACAGTTAAAAATATTTCTGGATCCACACCTGTTGTAAATATACTTTGAAGCTATTTTACACAAGAATATCTGGAATGGGATACTGGGCTGTGATTGCATCTAAGCCTATTTGCCTACTTGCATTTATGGGCCTATAATTATATTCTTGCAATATCTATCAATTAAGTACAGCTTTCAAAATAAACCTCCATGGTCTTCAGTACAATACCACATTTACAGTGAAGAGAATTACCTCCTTGATCCATTTCTTTCTTGCCAGCCAATGGTCCTGTACATGGGTCAATACAGCAGGAACTTTGGGGATATCATACTTTTCAACAAACTCATCTTGTGATATTTGTCTGACATCTACTCTTTGAACATTATCTTTAGCAATTGTGTCTTCTAAGGACATGTCAAAGTCAGAGATAAAATTATGCTTTGTCCAGCCAAAATCACCTTTGAGCTCTAGAATGTAATCATTCTTGGCATCAAATATGAAAAATTGGTTAAAAAATAAGTAAAAAATATACATCAGTCAAAATGAATGTTTAAATAAGAATGATTTCATCATTTATCAAACAGAGGGTGCTGGATGCTAGTGTAGCTATGGAGAAATTGTGACATATCGTACCATACCCTACCATACCCTTCAGCACCCTAGGGATAAGTAGGTACCAAATCCTTCTAACACATACCATACTATACCCTATGAATACATACCATGCCATAATACACCATATTGTGTCCTACTTTATCACACATATCTTACATTACCATTATATATTTGTTATTGAAAGAGTCCATTCTTAAAAAATTATTTTGCCTTTGATTGCTTACAAATAATTTTGCATTTCAGTCGATTATAAGCAAACATATAATGCTTCAGTTTTACATATATTGCTTCAGTTTTAAATAAATTGCAATCTCAGATTCCATCTAGCAAATAGCTATCAATCTGATGGGGGTTGAAATCTTCAGGTTTTTTACTTCATCTTATCATAACACTATATTCAACAAACTTCAGTTCAGTATACCAATTTTAAATTACACAACATGATTACATAAAAAAACGTAAAGCAAATTTTACTAGCTAAAGATTGAATTAAAATAAAAGGATATATGATGCTAGAGGAATTCTGCATAAAAGAGAATCCAGTAACTCTAAGCCAGTCTAATAAAAAGAACGCACCCCTTTTTACAAAACGATTTGTGAAAAAACTATATTTTAATAATGACTATCTTCAGTCTGTTACAATATTTATTTCTAAAAAAGAACGCTTTGAGCTTTCGACAAAACACTTTAGTTTATTATATAATCATAAACACACAATTCTGCGTTCTGTCTGCTGATTTCTTCACATGACATATTTTAAAGCAGTGATTCCTCCGTTGGCTATTGTCCTGCCAAATGACATTATATTTTACGTACTTAAGCTCCTTCCTTCAAAGTTTATACTAAAACTTGCATAGATTGAAATACTATAGAATGTTAATCAAAACCAAGGCAATATAGATACCCTACTTCTATTCTAAAATCAAAAATTTGCGGGTACCTTGAAAATGTCACGCAAGAAAACCGTTGCTCTAGGAAAATAGTAAATCTAGGATCTTTTAACAAAAACATTAGACTTTTTCCGTTCATACCTGGTCGGGCTCTTTCTTTTGCTTCCCTAATCACATAATCGGAACGAGAGCTTTGTCCGTCCTTCATCTTTACTGAGCACATGAAACGAAGAAGTTCCAAAAATTGTTCTCTGCAAAATGCTGTTGTTGTTGTTAGTGGCAAGCAGTTTTGAATGTCATAATAATCATCATCATTGATAGCACATTGCCCATCAAAAATACAATGTACCCTCTCTTACACATGCCTAATTGTAATTAGACTCACCCAATTAACATACAAAAATTAAATAAACGTGCTCCCTCGAAAAAATATTTCAAGACAAATAATTTAAAGATATGCCTCTTCTTAACACTTCAGATGTTGCATAAAATACTGGTTCTCCGGGTATCTGTAGCAAATGATACATTGATGTCAATATCAAGTTCAAAGTTACGTACTTGCTCCATGCTCAATATTTCCATTTTCGTATGCCAATAGTAAAACCGCCATATTCACAACCCTGGGTAACAAGACAAGTGAACTCAAAAATTCTCTTTTCTCTTCCAGTGTACTCAAGCAATCTATATGCGAGGGAAACAACCAGCTTAAATTTTCCAAATTATGCATCTAAAAAACCTTCGTAAGATAAATAGACCCATAGTGATTGCGTCTACGTGATTTTAATTATCATACTTTAACAGATATAAGAACAGAGGGATTGTGATGTCAGAAACATGTAATATTTAAAATTCTGCAAATCAGATAACACTTCTCCTATCAAACGTCTTTTTAATTACTCATAATGATCATTTTTAACCCAGATTTATAGCAATACAGCTCACTACTTATTCCTATTAAAAATGCAAAATTCAAATAAGAACCTCAAGCAATCGGATGGATTCCTTTATATACATAAGATTTTATACATACGGTTTTCGAAATAAGACTTCCCTTCGCTTTTCATAATTTCTAGTTTGCGATGTGATTTCCAAAGATTCAACTGCCTCGCATCTTGAATCATTTGAACTAACTTCACCTTGTCTGTCATAGATGGGGGCATACAAATTATCCCTTTTGGTCACAAAACTTGATAGGTGTAGAGGCACAACCAATAATGCCCCTTGCTGTCGTTTTTCAGAACTTGTTGCGAGGGTGCCCTTTCATTTCTTAGCCCCTGTTTGCATTCCTGCATAATTCTAATGAAAAAGCGTAGACCTGAGTGTTGAGGCACCCTATCAAATGTGATCAAAAGTAGGTATAATGCCAAACCATTCCAAGCCAACAAAGCAACATCTAGCATCGTACTTATCGTCATGCTAGAAAAGTTATGACAAAACGCTAAGGGCAATATACAAATAATTAAAATTGAAAGAAAGAGAGTGGAGAGTAGGGAGCTCAGAGTAGCGGTAATAGTGGATAGAGAGTAGCGGATAGAAAGCAGAGAATAGAGGGTAGAGAAAAGTGAGTAGAGAGTAGTTAGTAGAGAATGGAAAGTGAAGGATAGAGAGAAATAAGTAGAGAGTGGAGAATAAAGAGTAGAGAGTAAAGTGTAGCGAGAAAAGAGAAGTGAGTAGAGAGCAGAGAGTGGAGAGCGAAGAGCGAAGAGTGAAGAGTGAAGAGTGAAGAGTAGAGAGAAGAGAGTAGAGAGCAGAGAGTGGAGAGCAAAGAGCGAAGAGTGAAGAGTGAAGAGTGAAGAGTAGAGAGAAGAGAGTAGAGAGCAGAGAGTGGAGAGCAAAGAGCGAAGAGTGAAGAGTGAAGAGTGAAGAGTAGAGAGAAGAGAGTAGAGAGCAGAGAGTGGAGAGCAAAGAGCGAAGAGTGAAGAGTGAAGAGTGAAGAGTAGAGAGAAGAGAGTAGAGAGCAGAGAGTGGAGAGCAAAGAGCGAAGAGTGAAGAGTGAAGAGTGAAGAGAGAAGAGAGAAGAGTGAAGAGTAGAGAGAAGAGAGTAGAGAGCAGAGAGTGGAGAGCAAAGAGCGAAGAGTGAAGAGTGAAGAGTGAAGAGAGAAGAGAGAAGAGAGAAGAGAGAAGAGTGAAGAGTAGAGAGAAGAGAGAAGAGAGAAGAGAGAAGGGAAAAGAGAGAAGAGAGAAGAGAGAAGAGAGTAGAGGGAGAGTGGAGAATGGAGAATAAAGAGTAAAGAGTAGAGGATATAGAGAAGAGAGTAGAAAGGTCTAGAGTAATGAGAAGAGAGTAGTGAGAGATCGTTTAACCTTTTAATCCACGTTGCTGATTTTTTTTCTAACCCCACAGCCGTGAAGCATTTTTTGAGTCGCATTATTCGAACGACAACATACATTCTATCACAGTGTAACAGTAGCAAAAATTTGAAAGTCGTCCAATGAACGTGCAAATATCTTCTATAAAAACCTCTTTCGAAATTTAAAATATGCAATATTGTGAAATAAATTATGATCTAAATAACAAAATGAAATCAATGCTAATAAGGGTACTACCTAGCATATGAAAACATATTTATCTAAAATCTAAAGATCTCATGTCATGAAATTTTCAAAGGGGGTGTACTTCACTAGCTTTCATTTTGGAAAAATGAACAAATATGAATGAAGGTGGGGGTCAGTTCTACACAAGGAGGGGTCCAAGAAAAATGATACTGGGGATCCTTTAGGCGTCTTAAAAGACTGTGCAGGGGTATAAAACAATTTGTACATCCTCATAAGCCCTTTATCTTTCTTTAACTTTAAAGAGCTTTAATAAGAGAGCAGGGTGGGATTAGTAATAGGGTATCTTGAGTCTCTGACTGATTGGAGCTTTACCTAATTTCGATGAAGAAAGATCAGTAAAACACTTCAATGTCAAACACAGCCCCCTGACAAAACCTTGCCCGACTTTTAGAAAGACAGCTATCAAAATGTGACTTGCAAATTTAGATTATAAGAAAAATAACTCTCTAAAAACGTTGAAATGCAAAAAGATGATTCAGGGAGCAGAAGTTTGCGCGCGCCTGGCCACCCTGTCTAGTTGGTCCATTATGTCTCTGTTAACCTTTTTTCCATGTTCAATTATTTCGGGTGGAAACATAGAGATGATTGCTTCGACCTAGGATCAATAAGATAAAACTGCAACTTGAGTGTATAAATATTGCTTTTCAATACAAATTTCAGCTTTCAAAAATAGATAAAAACAGAAATATCAACAGAAAGAATAATGGTTTATTTATGAAGGATGCTCAATATTTGTAATTCTACGAAAGGAATTCTTGGGAAAGATTACTGCTGGAGTCAAGAAAGATGTTCATCCTTCCTCCAGTTGATGAGCTAGAGCCTTCGACCCTTCTCCAAAGGATAATGAAAAAGGAATGATCTAGGTGGGTATTCTGAACTTTCTGTTTTCTTTGACCTTCCTAGAGGTCATCAGCCATGGAGTAAGAGGCCTTACTTTTCCAAAGAAAGCTGCTGCTGAGATTAAGAGAGCTCAAATCGTATGATTAACAAACTTCAGAATGGAATGATAGGCCCATCAATGCAATGAATTCCAAACTACAGAAGAAGATGCCATACCTGGCTGTTTGGTGAATAAGAATCCAAATCTGCAGGAATATCAGGCCTTCGCACATTACCTCCTTTGACAATTTCTTCCATCACTTGTCTACAACGAAAACAAAGTTGACCGATAATATTGATGTTTATTGTTTATATCGATGCAATTACTGCAGTGACAGGGCCGAATTAAGGTGGGTGCTGTTGGTGCTGCAGCATCAGAACCATTCCTAAAATAGGCCCGAATAGGATGAAAACAAACGAAAATAGGCCAAATTTTCTTAAGCTGAATAGGCCAAATTATAAACTATTTTTGAACTGCAGCATCAAGGCCCAAGTTAGCCTTACTCGGGTACTGTAAATTGACCCAGAGAAAGCGACTGGATTGAATTTGATTAAAAGCCTCAAAAGAACGAAATGCCATGTATCTAGCTGATTTGAGAATCTTAAAATATATTTTACCGTAAACATTGTCACTAGAAAATACTGGGCAAGGGCGATACTGGACAGCTTCAGACAAAGAAAATACATTACATAGCTTCCTCAATTCTCTTCTACTAACCTTAATCTCCAGGTGAAAACAAAACTTTATTAAATAATAAAAACTATTATCTTTCTTGACTCGGCCTTAAATTTGCGATTGGTATTTGGAGAACAAGGCACACCAGCAATCGCGATCCCAGAAAAAGATTGAATCAAAGCCTATTTATTGTCAGAATATTAATAATACTTTACTTTAGATTTTGCGAATTCCAGACTTGGCTGCTGATTGCCATAGTTTCCTCTCTGTTATAAGCCTACAGAAATAAAGAACGAGAATGAAAAGTTTTCAATAAAGAAAAAGATGAAATATTTAACAATTTTTCAAACACAGAGAAAGAATATAATAAATTTCAAGCTTTGAAATTAGTTTGTTTGTATTTTGAAAGGAATTTTATCGTCAATTGTCTACTTAAATGGATTTTCAAAATCAAAGTCTCGTAGTGGTGTTATTTGCACCTATCACCTTCAGCTTTTTCCTGCTTATTTGGCTGATACAAAAACATCAAAATGAGATTTCAAGTTTACTTAATAAGAATTCATCAGATCAGACACGTTATGGTACACGTCACAAAACCTTTACGTGTGGTAACATCACATGTCGTAAAGTTTCATGATATGCATATGAATACGTATATAATACATTGAATATAGATCATAAAGCTCTGGTTGAAGCAATAGTTTAGCAGTGGAAATACCTGATGAAACCAGCCAGTTGGAATGAAAAGCATTTCACCTGGCATTTGAACAAACTCTAGCGCCTTTGCATGCTTGAACTTGGGGTATTTAACAACATCATAATCAAACGTATCTACAGGGCTCTGATACTTGGGGCAGTCAAGGGGGAAGCCAGATTTCCTTCCAGGGGGAACATACAGCAAGTGGTCTTGTCCAGGAGGGTAAAGCTAGAAAATAATTGTAGGATCATTAGCTTTATTGAAATTATTGTGTCATTGACATAAAAAAGAACAGAGTAAAAAGCAAGATCTTTAACCTGGTCCGGTGATTTTTTCCAAAAGGTGCCCCTTTTTCTAAGCTTCACTGTCATAAGTTTGAGTAAAAAGGGCAGTGTCGTCGCGTGACCATTCTCGTTGGGGGGGGGGTGTAAGAGATGCAAAACCATATATTACCAATAGAAATTCTTTTGTTACATTAATGTTTTGTTATAAATCTAATTCTACCGACGAGTTTTCTGAAAGTTGGGGGGTGTATAGCCTCCCACACAACCCTGCACGCTACGCCTCTGAAAAAGGGCACCCTTTTTTAGAAGTACAGCTCTGAATGAGGGTGGACACGCCGGAATTACACAAAGCAAATTACATGTTTGTCTGTGAGACCTATAAAACTAATCAGCACACGATTCAAAATTCCACTAAGCAAGATAAAATCTCTATAATACGGACAGGGATATGGCAGCCAGATGTAGGGCAGCCAAGAACAGAAATTTCCAAGGGAGAGATTTGTTTTTTCAGGCTCCTGATAAACGTTCCCTCTTATTGACTTTTCAAAATGTTCTCTATCCCCTGCCCTAGTAAGGACCTCCCCGCTTAGCAAATTTGTGACAAGACCATTTTGTTAAAACTTCAGCCTGTCTTTCAAAGTCTGTCTTTTTCAGGGTCTGTCAAATCCTTCAAAATTTTGTTTATTGTAAGTTAAAGCTCTCTCTCGCATTTTGAATTTTTATCCCATGAAGAACTTTCTAGTCCTTTCCTCCCCATTTTTCTGACACACCCAATCGATGTTCTGGTTTGATATGGTCATACTTGTGAGAGGGGGGGGGGGGGCTCCAGAGCAGCTGACGCTCCCGTTGAATTGGTCAACATGCAAAACTTTCTTGAATGAAGAATAATCTCTCAGGCCAATTCCCTTTTTACAACAAACAGTTATAGAACTATTTTAATGACATCCTCACACAGAAGCTTAAATATAAAAATAGGGGTAAGATTAACTAAATTTAGGGCACCACTTTACATGTGCAGACTAGAATATTGAATTTGAAAATCGCAGGTACCTCCTGCATTAGAAAGCCGTTCAAAATATAATTAAGAGAATCCCTTTTTCTTTACATAAAAATCTTACGTCTCTTCAAGAAATGATTTAAACAATTCAAAGAAATAGGATAGCTTCTGATATAAATATGTTGCGTTCTGATTTGTGCAGCTAAATGAAATATTAGACTTTCAACCCAGATACATCAATGTCGGAATTCTAACCCTGTTTAATGACTTTATGAGAGAGAGCATTTATGCAGCCAAGAAAACAACGAGCCGCTAAATCTCACAAAAAAGTCCATTTGCTTATCGTTTGTAACTTCTTTGCTTGGACGGTTACTTTTCATTTAGGAACTTAACGCAATAAATAGCATTTTAAAGCCCTTTATTTTGAAAGATTTACCAAGTTCATTTGAGCGAGAAAACATCTTACACAAAGGCAACAAGGCATGCCAAAATTACATGGAACATCTACCAGCTTGAGTCGTGTTTTCATCTTATATTTTTATCTCCCAATTACTTCTTCTTCTGTTCTCCCTTCCCCTAAACATTTTTGATGATCGAATTGAAGAGCTCAAAGCCAACATCACGACAGCAAATACTATCGAAACTTGGGAACTGGGTTTCCAGAAATATTTTAGAGGCCACAGGAAATAATGTCAAACACGATAGACAATTCAGATAAAAATAAATTATTTCTTGAGTTATCATAGCAAGGGAAATGAATAACAAGTTATGATATACTTAATAAAATTTAATACGTTCCCAGAAAGAAAAAATTGTTTTTGAAGGCATGGCTTACCTTCCATTGTTTTCTGCCACTTATAACTGCATTGGTTCCAGTCCAGTTGTAAGGATCTACAGCAAATACGAATAACGAACTATTCAGTGGGTTTTGTGGCATAAGCAAGAAACTGATGGGTAAATGATCTATCAATAATTCAATGATACCACGATTGTTATCAGAGCTGTGTTTAGGTCCACGAATGAGATTACAGCCAAAATTCTGACAGTTTATTCAGCATCTTGGCCTATTTCAATTAACAGTTGGGTATACATATTTCTTGGCTTTGGGTTTTCGAGCAATGTTTTGAAACTCTACACTTTTGAGAGTGTAAGATGAACAGCTTCCGTATGTTTCAAAATTTCTGTTTTCTCCAAAGCCATTTTTTAGACTCTGCACTAACAAAAATGTTCACAGTCTATCTTTTTTGTGATGATTGTATTTGATAGATTGATTGGAGTCGTTGGGTTGAATTTATTGTGAAAAATCTGTTAAGGCTCGTGATATACAGGTAACGATATAAAATTCTGGTCCAAAACAAGTGGCAATTAATCGTTTAAAGGAACTCATGTTCTCTGCTGATATCAAATTCATTTGATAAGCTGGTAAAGGGCTCACAACAGTTTTACGACAGCTTTGCAAATTGATATGGCTAGTGAAAGACCTGAAGTTCGCTAACAAATAACTGCTGTTTGGGTCTAGTTTAAGATATCATTCATTTGCTGGGACCAGAATCTGCCCTCAAGTGGCCAGATCTCAGCCAATTTCAACAATCTTACTTGATTTTGCACAATTAGAAAATTTTTGGTGGTCTTCAGATTATAAATTCTAAATTCAAAAGGTATTTGCAAACTAGAATCGCCCGGTTCTATACACTAATAGCAGATATTGTAGATAGTGGAATATGATATACCATCCAAGAATAAATTGAAAGTATAAACATATGTCCCATACCAATATGAAGAGTTGATCTTGAATATTTGGTACCCCAAAGCAACATTGCATTCCATGGCCTTATCTCTTCTGGCAGCAAGGAAAAGAAGTCCTCTTTCAAATAAATCTGCAAAAGTGGGATAGACATGATCTTCTACAAGAAACATCGAGCTACTCATTCTTTAGGATAAATAGAGTTGGGAAAACGATCAGAAATAGGTACAGATGCATGCAGAAAATTGCTCGTTGCCGAGAGTCTGTTTAAAGGGGGCAATCGCAGCGAACATTCCATCGTTTTCGATAAAGGGAGGTATGGTAAAAAGTACCCTCATCAAACTTTAGCTTACTTAACAAGGGCGCTTAGTTCCCGCATCCCCTAAATACGTGACCAATTAAATTTTATATATACTTTTCTTTACATAATATATTTTGAATATATAAAAAACATAATTTGTCTTTTTCTTTGTAAAATTAAATACACACAAAATGTTTGAATTTATTGGCGTCATTGTGTTCATTACTGGATCTGCAAACTTGGGGCAATCTGACAGGGTTTCCTGAATGAATAATTTTGCAGTACACACCGGTGTATCAATGTCTTTAAGCAATTCAGGATTTCGAAACATAAACACTTCATCTTCAAGATATGACCATTGGCTGCGGGTTGACTCTCCAATGTGTTGTAAGAAAACACCCAAAGGGGCTGCAAGGCCTTGTCGTTGGTGCAGTTTTCCCTAAAAGAGAATTTAACAGATGTCCATGACAAACTGGATCTTCACAGTCGAAAAGTTTGATTGATTACTTTCGGTAAGGGAAAAGTATTAAAAAGAATATGTGGAACTAGGAGTGTGGTTTAAGTTTGAAGTAGGATGTAAGAAAGCCTAAGAAATGCAAGGATCTAAAGGGGTTGTCCAAGTTACATTCATTTGTTTCAATAGCATATTTCCGCATTTCCATGATACACCTCTGGTCCGTTACCACAAACAGTAAGCGCACTGCTCGATAAACTCTTTCAAAGCGGAAGGAAATGGCCGGGAAGTACTTCAGTCTTCTTGGAAATTAATGAAAAGAACACGGAACCAGTAAAAATACCAAGTTCCGTCAAAATAAAATTCTTCTACGTCAGCTTGCTTATTAAATATTATTTGGTTAGAAGGCGGATGGATTTGCTCTAAGCTTTAGGATCTTCAGAAAAAGAGAAAAGGAGACAACGAATCGCATAAGAGACAAAAGATGAAACAAGATTCAAGGGAGAGAAAAAGCAAAAAGATGAGAGTATAGAATGAGAGAAGGACAAGAGCAAAGCATGATGTTATTTGCTTCCGTTTTTGCGGTGATACTGCATTTCTATCGCTGATCGATGAATTATTTTCCTTACTGTCAATAGCGGCTTGACCTCTTATCGTATGACAAATTATTTCATTTCCGGCAACTATATATGTGACTTATTAACTGACCCAAGTCAGTCCGTTTATATATTGGTTTAAAGAGGTCGTAGAAAATTGGGTACTTAATCCGTAAAAAAGATGATCCGCATTGGCGCCCAACTTTTAATGTTTACAATTTTACTGCTAAATGTCCAGCAAATCCACTCAGAAGAAGTAGACGATCATGATGACGATTCAGTTATGGATGGAGAATGGAAACAGGGTGTAAGCATGGAAGAGAAGCGCCGCAATAGCGCAAACGAGGAGAGCGATTTGAACGACGACGAACAAGATGCTCCTGACAGTGAAGAGGAAGAAAAGCTAGGAAGGTATCCACGATCAGCACATGCGTTTGCAGGCAGAAGACGTCGCCTTTACGCAGGAGGACGCTCTGGGAGAAGAAGAAGAAGACGTTCTTGGTGGAGATGAACCACTATGAGTTGGAAGAGTTAGACTGTAACCAAACTCTAACCAATGTTGATTCTGCAGCCATTGCCTTTAATGCAGTTTGATGATTTTGCTATTTCTATAAACAGTAGTGTAGCCATCTTTCTAAAGACGTTTACCAAATATCCTTGTGTACAATAGGATTTGAAGATTTTAAGAGTTATCTTGTGTAATATAAGAGCATTATATGTTCACTTTAACCAATCAAAACAACGCTATACACTTTCTGAAGATGTTTAAGATTATATATAGTTTTGAAACAGACTCTGAAATTATTTCGTTATCTAGAACCTTAGCGCTAGTGGTACGTTTCGCCGTGTTTTTTCATAGATATCTCAACGAATTTAGGTCTTATGATTGCTTTCCTTTTTTTCAAATATCCACATGCCTCTCAGTTTTCAAATCTAATCTTAACCACAACCGATTGCTTAGTCCAAAAGATATTTGATAGGATAATTGGTTGTGGGAGGCATGAGAAGAAAATTAAGACATTATTGTACTATCAAGGGTCATCGAGGAACATTCCTACAAAATAAAACAATTCAACAACGAAACAGTTATTGGAACATTATTCATGATTATAGTTTTAGGCACAGTACAATCTGGGCTATTAAGTAAATGATGGCCGATGCAAGAATCATATTTTTACCAATGATACCAGATTTAAAACTAACAGAAAAAAGTCCCATGTAAACGAATGGTTTAAAAAAAGTTTCCATTATTTCTTTATCAAAACTTTTAGTTGAGGCCTGAAAATCGTTTGATCTGTTAAGCCGATATCGTTGCTTTGCGGTTGTGGTCGCATGTCTCATTTACAATATCGCATTGCACATCCATGTATCCAATGTATGACTTTGTTTATTTATTAACCTTAAGGCTTCAAATGACTTGACCCGGATTACAGTGTGGTTTACCTTTACGAGTGTACCTTGCAAGTGCGATCAGTAAAATCCCGTTTTCTCCGGACAAAAAATTCCTCTACATACAGATACGAAAAAGCTATTTTGAACCCAAAGAACCAATAGAATGGCTCAAAAATTTGCACACGGCCAGGAAAGATGTCTGGTAAGCAGTGTGTCTCAAATTTTTTGTATTTGCTCTGGCCCGTCTTTTATAGCCAAATACAATTACAGGAGTTTAGAAAGATTGATTACCATTCTGGACAGGGTATAGTTTCATAGGAAAAAGGAATTTGAAAAATCTGACATACATTTTGGTAGCTCAGGATCTGCGCTTTCTGCTGATTTAAGCCAAATTTTGTTACTTTAAATGCAAGGGTACAAAATAGCTTTAAAGGTGGTACACTCATTTAAGCGATTCATTTGCCAGGAGGGCATCATTTTACGATATTTGCCAATTATTTTGATTTGGTTGGAATCTCCACATTCTTGTGCATCAAATGATTATCGAATAATCCGATTCCGTTAATAGTTTGGCTTTTAGAGAGAGAAAACCAAATATTGTGCCAGAAACGTTTACCGTAACCTTAATGCGATCACCAGGCAACTGCTTTAATCTTTGTTTTCAAAAGTTTCATAAAATGTGCATGGAATATCACACCAAAAACGTCACTTACCGAAATCCCTTTGAAAGCTATGACTTCACTGCCATAGTTTGACATGAAAAAGTTCTTGCTCCATTTCCGCATAGCTGGCCAGCTCTTCATCGCATCGGTAACCAAAACAGGCCTACAACAAAATTACCAAAACATGTAATAAAACCTCTTCGATGATACCTGCCTAAACAAATAAACTACAAAATGAAAACTTAGTCTTTCGTTGTAAGAAGAATGGAGTTGTTTTAAACCTTCTGACGTCACAAGCGACAAACCTAATCTGTAAATGAACCCCTTATAAAAAAAGATTCGAAGTCTTATATCAATATATTACACTATAGAACACTATCGATAACAGCGTCTATCCCTCTGAAAATACAAAATGCTGTTGTAATGATAAGAATCAATGAATATTTTCAGCTAAAAATTTATATCATCTATGAAAGTAATGGTGAAAAATTATATTATATAAGGCACCTATAGTAGATTAGGTTAAGGAGCATAAATAAACTACTAGGTTCCCATTCTGCTGTAAACATTGGCATAAATCGAGCTGACTGACTAGCAAGCCAACCTAGTTTATATTTCATGGTGTGATGTCATCGTTTGGATGATAGCTCGTGAAAATTGACGCTGTTCTGAAAAATGACGCGTTTAATTCTTATTTTTGTATCTTTCTTTTGCACTGTGAAAGTGGGCCAAAATCGAAATGATTTAAAAGGGTCAACAAACCCCCTCCTCCCCCTCCCCCCCCCGCCCCCGCCCGCCGGTCATAACTAAAGCCAAGCTGACTTCGTTTCTTAACAATTGGAATCAAATGAAATCTATACCTGTACAAAATTTCTGTTGACCTCCTGTAAAGTCGTCTACTTATTTACATGCGACAAAGAGGAGTCGACCAATCAAAACAAACAACGTGCTACTCACCATTTTGCATCATAAAGTTCTATAAACTCGTCCAGGGACAAATTTGACCGCCGATCGATTCCTCTGCTTATGTTGAAATCAGGAAAGGCAACCCTTTTGAATTCGTATTCCTCTCGTTTTGATCCTCCCTCGCAATATCCATAGGCCCATAACAGCCCAAGAACAACTCCAGCAACCAACAACAATCCTGTGATAATCCAATTGATTTTGCTCGAACGAACACTTTTAGTTTTTCGCTTAGGCACTGGTTTGACATTGTCTGCATTTGTGCTAGATTCCTTCGCCGTTTGTTTTTCTTCCAATGCTTGGTGGTTATTCTGCTTTGCAGATGACTTGGTTCTGCGCTGTTTAGCTGTCATTTTTTACTCCAAACTCAAATTTACTGGATACAACGATGCATTACAGCAAAGCATATACAACGGCCTAACGGTTTTAATCGTGTACTTGACCAAAATAGAAAAGGAGGACTTCGTCTTTGTTGACAAACTATAACCTGCAGTTTGCCTACCGACTTGCAGGTGAAAGTAATCTATCACATAAAAAACGGTCAAGAAGTTGCCATGCTTCGATTCAAGAAAAACAATGAACTTAAGGTTAATCGCGTCGGTGAATTTATTGTTATCTAAAACGTTGTCTTCCTGTAAGGGGCAAGGGAGAACCTTTTCCGACTTGGGAAGTGTAGAACTGGAAATGGCTGTGTGTGAACTTACATAGCATAGAATTTTTCCATGAATGTTTTTTAAGTAAAAATCAAAGTATGCTTCCTGCTGGCGGTCTCGCAATCCAGTTTCATAAATTTATTACATTAATTGCAAGTTAGCAACAGAACAGGCGCGTAGCTGTGACTGTCTTTGTGTCTTTGAGAGGGTCGGCTATGCGTTTTCTTCCTCGCCTTTCAGTTTACGCCTTTCAGCTTTCAAAAACCGAAATTTCATTTTGCGTAAATGGGAATTCATTTTCCAAAAATTGTTGTTTCCGTTTATTTTGTAGCGACGGGTATTTTGTATGGAGACGTAAGCAAAACATGGCTTTAAGTTGGTATAACTAGAAGCTATAAAGAAAATATTGACAACGTTTTCAATCTCCTTCAACAAAATTTCAAGATTTGCAGTAAGTTTTGTCAGCTTATCAATGAAGGTGCATCATTATGGAAAAGGGTAACCCCTACTCAATACCTATCTTGGGGTCCATTGAGCCCTTTGTTGTTACATCAAAAGTGCCTCTAAGAGAAGTTACTTGATGTAACTTATTTAGCAAGTGCAAGAAACTATTTCGAAAAAATTATTCATCAAATGAAATTCGCCTCCTTTTGACTTTTACTGAACCTCGCCCTGGTGTATATGAATGATTAAAGGGCTTAATTCACCACTGCTTTAAGCATTTATGGTCGAGTGAATTCATGGCCAAGGTTCTGCGGTGTAGAGCAAATAATAAAAGTATCAGCAGCAGGTTGAATTCATAGTCATCAATAAGGCAGAACAATTCATTTGATGAACAAAAGCGTTGTCCAGTAACGAGGCAGCAATGGGTAAAGAAATTTCAATAGATTTCTTGATCAGAATCTAGTGTATATGTGATAATCTGCAGATCGTGTTTGTTGTTACTCTTGCTAAATCCAGGGGAATATCTTGTGTTTACTGTGACTGCTTTCCAGGAAGAGGTGCTTGAACTTTCATTTGCAAGGGATTGCAACGAAGCTTGGAATTTCGCTTGTACGTGAGGTTGAAACATAAATTCAGCAAAAACATTGCTTAGACGTACTAAAGGATGAATGTTATCTGACAAAAGGCCTTAAGCGGGTGCTTTTATCGATTAGAAGCAGATTTGGTAAGATGAAGAAATACATGGATGATCTGATAAGAGAATCCTTGCTGAGAGAAGTGTATTTAAAGTCGAAATGAAGATTGCTTAATTAACAGTGAAGACACTCAAAGGAACCTTATGCTGCACAATAAAGGCAAGTTCAAGAGGAGATCGGTTACCTGCTCGATAACAGTAGTCCAAGACAATAAAAGCTGTAAATATTTTTCTTGGCAAGAGGAATCTTTTAACACTGATATGACTTCACGAAACGCAACAAATAATGAAAGGCAAAAAGAAATATTCATTTCATGAATTGACTTAGGAGCAATTTCAGCCAACGTTAGAAAAACTTTGAGAAAATTGTTTGACTGAAAATTCAAGAGAGTTTGTTACTCGAAGCTTGGGTAGAGGGTTGTAAACATGAATACTGGGACACTTTCACAAAAGAGGATGATAAGAAACTTGGAAGAGAGACACGCAGCCGGCAAACTGAAAGTCAATGCGTTGGATAGCAATGGGTTGTCGCTGGTGCATCAGTTTTCTTATGATGGTAACATGACAGGATTGCAATGGGCAATGCAACATGGAGGAAGTGCCACAGCACGGTGGGTAGAAAAGCTGCATCGGATCGCATTGTCTGATAGAAAATATAAACCAACTAGTCAATTGTTTAGGATGCTAGGGAGAACAACTGACAACGCTGAAATTTTAACGAAATGTATTTATATAAAGGGGTACTATTTTAGCTTAGTTTCTCAATCCGTAGTATGTCATTAAAGGCCCCACACCCTCTCAACTTGCAAAAGAATGCAATAGCACACATTCGTCGGCCATATTCATTTCCGTGCTATTTTAAAGCTTTTCAGTAACGGTGGATTATTTTCACAGCAGATAACCAATCTTAGCATCTCTAGCAGCTAGATAAAATAGAAGGGTTTGTCAGAGTTTTATCAATAGCCTATCTTGGTCTGCAACCTACACGAAATTTAATGCACCAAAATAGGCTGTCAGCTTATGGCTGGCATTGAAAACCAGTCTTTTTATGGTTAACCAGATGTGACCTCTGGTTCCAACCAAAGTTGTCGTATTAAGTATTCCAACAGATTGGTTGTCTATATGTCCTGCATTGCATTGCTATTACATTTCTATGATTCAACGATTTTCGTGGGATTCACAATTGAATAACAAAGTGCTAGTGCAATAGCAATAGTTCTGGTTTTAAAGCATTAGACTCATGCTCCATCCGCCCATAAGCCCCATCTGAATACCCGAGAGCAAAACTTAATTTCCATTAAACAGAACACCAAATTTCTTCAAATAGCACACCATCCAATAGCCAAAATAACTTCAAAAATGCGGTATCGTTGAGTGAAAAATTGGTCTGCAGGGTTTAAAAACTCTATTCGCTAAGCCTATTCTTCTCGATGTTTATTTGACCACCTTCTTTCGAAAAAAATTGCTTTGAGGCAAGCTATTAATTACCAGACAAGACAAGCAAAACAAGTGTTTTTCAAAACTTGCCGCTTGAAATGGCACGCAACGTTCAGCTGAAACCAAAACGAGGCCTGGGTGCATTGGAGGTTCACGCAAAATGCAAAATGGCCTTCCAATTTTTAGTTAGGTAAAAAGCCATTTGCCCTCACTGCTTTGTCGCCATGGTGGAAAGAATGCATCCCAATCTTTTTGGAAACTAGACAACAACTTCCTTTTACAGCAAAATTCCTTTTACAGCAGAAAGCTTGGGTTGTGGCTGATAGATTATCTCCATTTAGCAGTAAATCAATATAAAGAGGAAGAGGATAGCTAAATTTGACCTGAAACTAGGCGCAAATGACAAGATTTTGCTAAAAGCGCAATTTGGCACAGCATATTTCCTCTTATGTGCAGCAGCGATTAAATGAGATAAAACCTAAGAAAAAATCTTAAATTCGAGCTGGTTTGGTTTTGTTCACCATTGTCGCAGCTTATGAGAATTGTTTATACCAGAACCGAGCAGGAGCAATGGATCCATTCTCGTTCGCAGGCTGCACATTTGCTGGAATTACCTTCTTAGTAAAAATCCGATATGAAAAATTTCAAGAATCAAATTTGTCTTAATGTTTGAATGCCCTCCATTGATTTATAGATCATCGGAAGGCTGCGTGGCAGCCCACTACGCAGCAGCAGGCGGCCATTTGCATGTCCTTCAATACTTACAGGAGCAATCTACTCCGGGAATTGACATCAAGGTATGAATTTTGTTTGTTTCTGAAATGTAAGTTAGAGATATATATTTGGACAATTTAACATCAATCCTTGAGGCCATCTAGACAAATTGCTGTTGTTTCGCTCCGGAAATGAAGAAATGGATGAAAATAAACCACCATAATTTATTAAATGAAAAACGCTAATTTTCCTTTTTTGCATTGCAGGACACCAATGGGACATTTGCGCTATACATAGCAGGTAAACAAAAAATACCAGAATCCATTTCGAGCCCTGTGCTACCAATGAAAGCTACGCTGCAACATGCCACAATGCGGCCTGGTCGAAACTTTCAGAATGTCGGAAATTTCGTGGCCAGCATCGAGACGAAAGGGCAATTTTAAATGAATTTCTTGTTAACGTATAACAAATCTGAAGGGTGTCTTAAAATACATCTTGTCGACTCTGCAAAAGCTTTCTAAGTTGCAAAGGGCTCTAGAGTACCCTTTAAAACTATTTTTATCAACATTGACATTGATTTGTACCCTTGATTACACCAAAACAAGACGGGGACCGAAAATGGCAATTTTTTCTACGCAATACATTCATGTATCATCTGTAATGACATCTAAAAACTTTGATTCAACTGGTGGTGCTTTCTTCGCATTATCAACACGTTTTTTGTTCACAGCTCAGGAAGGCCAATTAGATTGTTTGATGTGGCTAACAAAATATTCACGCTTGTCAGCCTCGGAGCCATCTAACGACGGAATGACAGCCCTACACGCGTCTGCGCAGGAGGGCCATTTGGACTGTGTACGGTATCTTATTCAGTTCGCAAGGTGTTCGCCCACACAAACAGACTTTAGTGGTTGCACTCCGCTACACTTTGGTAAGAATATCATTTATAAACTAAGATATAATTGTTTTGTCGGGTGAATTAGTATCAAATGACATTCGCATAGTATTTGAAGAGCTTGTAATTATTTGAGGTCGGAGAACAGGATTCAAATACTGTTTCTAGTTGCGAAACATTTTTTCATAAAAGCAACGTGGTTAGGCCATGTTAGCCTATGTTCAAATGGGTAACGCTCACTTTTCAGGATTGTTAATACTTCTCTCCCCTTGTAAAACTAAGACCACGATGTCCATCAATACTATACCTCAATTTTGAATTACATTTTATCTTATTTTGTCTTCTGTCTAAGTGTCTTTCAAACTAAACTTATCGAAACTTTAGCATCCGCTGAAGGGCATTGGAAAATGGTGAGGTGGCTGTTGGAACACGGAGGGGTGCAAGGGGACGAGGTTGATAAAACAGGGGCAGCATCGATACATTTGGCTGCTGAATACAACCAGCTAAAAGTGTTAAAAGTTTTCGTAAAGCTGTGAGTATTTTTTTATGACTTTCCTTTCAACATAGCTGATGCTTTAACTACATCAAGCCGATAGCAAAAGGGGCGAGCTTAACGTGGACGACCCTACCCTTTTTCCAAGGAAACAATCCTCTGAACCTACCCCAAATCTCCAAAATTTGATTGCTATTGTAAAGAACTGTGCCTGAAAAGTGACCGAGAGAACTCAACTGGACTGTATGATACAAACGTTTTTATTTGCAGAACATTTAGTAAGACGAGGCTAGCTTTTAAGTTAGGTTGATAATGACTTCCAAATATGTTCTGAATCCGTTGAAAACTGATATACTGTACATCTCCAAATAAAAGAGAAAAGATACCTTAATTTGCTCTAATTCTTTGGCTACAGCTAAAGCCTTATGCAAGAAAGTGTCCTGGTCATTCGTCTCGATGCGACTACACGTCGTGATTCCTAGACCTAACAATACAGAGAGCTAGCAACTCCCCTCAAAGTCAAAGTTTTGTTATGTCATTGACTAGAACCCCAGACCACCGAATCTGCAGTCCGCGACCTTAATCACTAAGGAATCCTCACAACTTTATGGAGGTTTCTTGATAATACTCTTAAAGCCATTATTATCATCATATCTTTCAGACGCAGTAATTTGGTGAAGCAAATAGACGGAACAGGGCGAACTCCGCTTGATATATGCATCGAAAGAGAACACACCGAATGTGCAGATTTTCTAAACACGGTGAGGAGCTATGAACCATGCATCATTCTTATTTGACAAAGGAATTAGTTACTCTGGTGCAAACCAACTTTATTTTTTATCTAATAGTCCCATATATTATACTTGCTGCTCCTTAATTTTTTCTTTACGTTCAGTTAAAACTAGAATGAGGTGTTATATCGCTTTCCAAAAGTTTAACTTACTAGCGATCTCCTTTTCAAAAGAGAAAAAATTCTCGTGTACAAAAACATTAATCAAAGATTTTTTGTTCGTTGTTTTGTAAAAACGATCAATTTTCCCAACATTTTGCTCCTGCCTCTGTCAATAGAATTGATTCACACATAGAATAAGCAGACTTTCGTATCTCAATCTCTCTACAGTGGCAAAATGCCATTCCAGGCGAAGAAAGACGGGTAAGACACAAAACAAGCCTAAAGAAAGTACGCTTTGACGAAAGCAATGATGATGCTACTAATCAAACCTCACTTCCAGTCCAGAACAACAATAACGAGGCTGAATATACGATAGACAATGAGCATATGCTTATACAAGGAGGAACGGTGGAGGAGGATAGGCTAATAGAACGAATGAGAAAGAACAGGGAAGAATGGCAGAAGTCGAACATAATTGATATTGAATTGGATGAAAAAGAGGGGCCAGATGAAACTGCTAATAAGAGAGAAGATCGTGGGCTCAAAGGAAGCAGAAATGTGAGAAAACGAAGTTCGTTCAAGGACAAAAATCACAAATACCAAGCACGCTCGCGAACTTTAAACCGGGGCAGCATAGGCCATCTTCTAGATAAATTGCATTTGAAAAAAGGTCTTCAGGACGCCTCTGCATTCTCGTTGCCACACAGGTCAACAGAACGGAGTACTCGTCCGGATTTGATCCAAAGTGTAATGGAAGCAGATAAAAATGCCGGACGGGCCTTTACCAGGCGACCGAGTTTGGAATTCTTCCAAGACCTCAATTCACAGTTGAACTCGGGAAGAAAAGAGCCAAGGAGCAAGTCTCAAAATGAACCGGATGTTCCAGTGACCATATTCCACAATGGAACATTAAGATCCTCGCGGGATAATCTGAACGATTTAAAGAAACCGGATGAAGATGCAGAGAACAGAAAACTCGGTTACTTTGGCGGTATAGGAAATATTGCTACTGAAGCTGTGAAAGACAAACAGCGCGGAAACGTTATCAAAACTGTTGAAAACACGTCAAAAGTGGTCGAAACAAAAACAACAGTTGTCATTGATGGATCTGAAAGATTTAAGAAAAGAAAAGATACAACGAACAGCGAGGAAACCTCGAGGAAATTCTATAGAGGAGCCAGTCACGAGCCACACCCACAGAAAAAAATCAAACTTCCAAAAGGCTTTATAGGGATATTGCCTAACACGAAAAATCGAGCTCCAAAAAATTCGACCCATGATACAGATAACGGAAATAAAAACTCGACTAAAAGATGGAACTTTGGAAGGAGCAGAAAAAAGGACAGCATCGACGGGAAAATTTCGCCGGTTAGCAATAATGCATCGTCAGCTGACACAAAGGAGCATTATCTTATAAGAACACTACCTCTGCCGAGTCATGGAAGTCATGGAGTAATCCGCCATGATGCAGCGGCCTTCTTTTCAAGTAATCTCAATCGAGACTATAAACAGGTTGGTAAAAAGTGCAAACTATGAAAGCCTCTTTGAGAACCTTTGCTTTAATGACCCTTTAAAGACCTCTGTTGGTCCTCGGGCTTTCAACCTAACTTCAAATGAAATATCCTAGGCTTAGGCTATTCGTTATGTTTCAACCAACCTAATTATCGCAGTTAAATTACTTACAAAAACGCGATAAAGTCGGGATTATCTAAAAGGATTTTTAATGGAGTACTTTTCCTGTTTAATCAAAGACTCTTGCATGGATAAAACTTAAGGAAAAACACTTTTTCTAGCAAATATCACAGCAATGATTACTACTATATTATAAATGGTAAACGTAGTTTAAATCTTACTATTCTACAAACGTTTGTGGGGCTGTTTAACTCCAGGCTAATACTCTGAGCCAGAAACAGTGGTGAATGTTTGTTACCAAATTTCAACTTGTCTGAAAAAATTCAATTTTTGCCTACTTCCCGTAGAACTCCGGTCGCTGGTCAAGTGTACGGAACACAATTGGCTCTTTTGTTTCGTCTCTAAGATCTGGAAAACGAGAAAAGGTATGTAAAACTCATATATTATCATTAAAGCCGTCATGAAGACGTATATTAAGTGTCTTGGAAAGGATTTTAATAACCAGTTTATTAGCTTTCGTCAAGCTATCGTAAGGAAAAAGAATAGAAAACAAAATAGAATATCTTGATATAGAAGATTTAAGAATTTTAGCGCAATAATGTCAAATAAACTTTGAGGTTCCCCATTGACTTCGATAAAGATGTCAAAGTCTATCAACAATTAGCCAATCAGTGAGCCCTTCGATGCTCACGCGGTTTTTGATTGGTTAATAATGATTGACAGCTTGCTGAAGCCATTTTAGTAAATGTCGATTTCCTTTAACCAAAACAGAGCTTTTTAAAAGGTTTCAGCCAATCTAATGCTAAATGTCGGTAAAAAGATAGTACAGTAATGGAAGTATCAGCTAATGCTGTATGGCAATCAAAAGGCATCATTTAGGGGTATTTACAGACGTATCATTGCAAACATTTTTTGCAGATTTACAAAGTGCAAAGCATGTCAAGCATGGACAGTGCAAATGACGCAATCTTTGAAAGAAAAGGCAGTGACAAATTCAACATAATAAAATCTATTCAATTAAAAACCAAAAAACGAAAATCAATCTCATTGGAACACCTGCCATATTACTCTGCCGCTGGGGAGGAGATTCAAGTACCCAACCAGCACAAAGTGAACACGAAAAGGCTTTCCGCATTACAGCCCGGTTACACCGAACCGGATTTATCAATGCTGACGTCGATGGCACTTGACCAGACATTAAAAGGACGGGTAGAATCGGTCGAGCCGGTAGAAGAAGAGCAGATACCGCCGCCGAAACCAGAAGAGTCCCTAGACTTCGTGGTGGCAAATAAACAAACCACTGGATTTGAGCTAGACTCACTTCAGATAAATAATACAGTCGATGGAATGGAAACCGGGAAGGCCTTAATGTGGTGATGACACCGCACAGTGTTAAGGGTAGAACCTTGCACTGGAGGTGCCACATTGAATCGGTCTCGATTCCATGGATTTAGAAAGTTAATTGAAATTGGTGTGGTTCTATAGTGTTAATGACAGGGGAACGGTCGAGCAACCAAAGAAGTCAAGGGTCTTAGCTTGGTATTTGTGTCTCTTGAGAAGGAACATGAAACATTTACTTCAAATGAGAAATGAAATCCCTCCTCTCTTGTACTAATAATATTAAATGTATTTGCTTTTGATATAATATCATCGTTTCTCCTTCATAATAAATTTGAAGAGAGGGGGGGGGGGGGTTACAGCGCTCCACATTACACCTTGTAAAAATCACTGATCAAAAGGTTGGGTAGAATGATACATGTCCTTATCTTCAGATTTCAAGATAAGGACAAATAGCAGAATAAATATAAGAGTGTCATGACTGAAGTAATTTAGATCCCTTCACATGGTTCACGTAGTTGTAAATAGTAAAATTAGGCTTAGTGTTGAAATCAAAACATCCTAGTTGTGCATCGCGCTTAAATAATAATTTCCCAAGCGAACATG